GCCGTCCTGTGCTCTGCCATGCCATGCCATGCCATGCCATGCCATGCCATGCCCGCAATCCTAACCCTAAACCAACACCCACCAGCTTGGCCGCCTCAGACTCGCCCTCTGCTCTTGTGATGGCTGCCAGCCTCTCCTGCTCCGCCTTCATCACCACAAACTTGGACCGCTCAGCCTCCTGCTGGGCTGTTGGGAGGAGGGGGGGATGCGGAGAGGCGAAGGAGGAAATAAGATGGAAACAAGCAACTGGTTTCAATTAAACAGCCTCTCCTGCTCCGCCTTCATCACCACGAACTTGGACCGCTCAGCCTCCTGCTGGGCTGCAGGGAGGATGAGATGATGAGAGAAGTGAAAGAGGATATCATGTGGAAACAAACACGTGACCTCATGGAAAAATACTTTCCAGCTCCGCATCCTTGTGGGTTGTAAGGAAGATGAGAGGCAGGAGGGAAGGGAGAGGAGGCAAGGGACAGGTAGGGATAACAGTTCATCAAGGATGTAAGCAAGAGGGAGAAGAGAGGATTCGGAAAGAGAGGGAGGAGAGAGAGTGCAAGGCACAGGGAGAGATGTGATTTCTTCACACTTACAAATTTGACTCTTTACGTATAAGTACATAAATACATACGTAGATAGTCAAGGAACGTTTGCTATATACAAAAATATGAATACATATAACAAATGAATACATTCAAGAGCAAAAACGCAGGCAACAATTTGCGAGGACAACAAACTACTCACCGACTTGCTTCTGCTCAACGGCCTTGGAGAACTCAGCACCATATGACAGATGGGTCTGGTGTGGGTTGGGTGCCGTGGGGTGGGGTGCGGTGGGGTGTGGTGCGGTGGGGGGGGTGCGGTGGAGTGGACAAGGGATAAGGTGGATTAGGAGTGGATGAAAACGGATGTGGCTGCTTGAGAGCTCAGCACCATACGACAGATGGGTCTGGTGTGGTGGAGTGCGGTGGGCATGCGACAGGGTGGGTTTGGTATAAGTGAACACGAATGTGGTCGCATTAGAACTTGGTGTCATACGACAAATGGGTATGGGTGGGGTGCAGTAAGGTGAGGTGAAGTGCGGTGCGGGGGCGTGGGGTAGAGTGGTTATGTATGGGGTATGGTTAATATTGAATAGAGTGGGTATGGTATGTAACACATGTGACTGCTAAAGAACTCACTACCATACAACAGATCGGTCTAGTGCAGGTGGGGTGGGGTGGGGTGGATATTGTACGAAGGTGAGCATGGGGTGGTGTGCTTAGTGCATGAAATGGGTATCGGGTGGGAATGGGATGAGTAAAGTGGGAGTCGGGAGAAAGTATCAAAATCTGAGACATCTTGAAACATGCGGTTGTCGTGAATCGCAAGATATTCAAACATCCCAGCATCACCCTAAACCGCACCAGCACCGCATCTTTCGTGCCACATCATCTCACCAATGACACGTCATCTCACCAGTGCCACGTCATCTCACCAGTGCCACGTCATCTCACCAGTGCCACGTCATCTCACCAGTGCCACGTCGTCTCACCAGTGCCACATCATCCAGCACAATGTTGAAGTCCTTGGCTCGCTGAGTCAGCGCCTCCCGCACAAGCTTCGACACCTGTTTGATGTGTCGCACACAAGTGAAGTGAAGACGATAATATAATGATCGCTACTTTCAATACATCTGTGGATATATTTTTTATGTACATCTATATGTATATATGAGCATAGAAGATTCACTCATCAATTTTTACAGATCCGTACTGTACTGTGCACTTACATATGGACGCTCCGTGAGTAGCTGATCAGCATTGAATTGAGCCTGCCGAAACAAATACAAAAAGAAAGACACCAAGAAAACAGAATCACACACACAAGGATTAGAAAATACAGCAATGGGAGCGAAATCACATTGCAATCCAACGCATCTGCCTGACGGTCTAACTGTGCGCCGGGGAAGGTGACTTCTGACCTACAGGCTACAACTAAGAAAACGCAGAACAGAATATACTCGTTATAAGCAGCTCACCACGACAGCCTTGAGCACTTCGTTTCTGATGGACAGCAACACTCTTTCATCGTAATCCGTGCCGAGCGTCTTGAAAATGGTCGGCAGGTGGGTGGTCTTTCTGAACCACAGCTAAACCACAGCAATTACAGTACTCGTTATAAGCAGCTCACCACAACGGCTTTAAGCACTTCGTTGCCGATAGAAGGCAGCACTCTCTCATCATAATCCGTGCCGAGCGTCTTGAAGATGGTGGGCAGGTGGGTATTCTCCGGCTTGGACAGCACTCGCAGGGTCAAATTGACCATCTGCAGATCTGGGTTAGAAGAGAAGAGAGTGAGAAGAAGGGGGGAGAACAGGGGGCGGAGGAGAGAGAAGATGGGAACTTTTGAAGATGGTCAGCAAGTGGGTTTTGAGACGTCTCAAAACACGGCGGGGGAGAGAGAAGATGGGAATACACTGGTTGAAGATGGTCAGCAAGTGGGTGGGAGCGTTAAACTGACCATCTGGAGATCAGACTTTAGAAAGGGATTAGGGTTGACACATTAAAATTTGGAGAGGCAAGTGTGGGAGGGAGGGGAGCACCGGGGAAAGGGGGCGAGAATATGAGAATAAGAGAGGTCTGGATTTGGGGAGAACAGGGAGAGGAGTGGGAAAATGTGGTGATAAACTCACTCCAGAGCTTATCACATTCCCTCACTGGCTTGATTCTTGAAGATGGTGAGACGGTGGTATTGGAAATGCATCTCTCAAGTCGACTCAAAAGTGAGATGACTTTTGAGACGACTCAGTGTGAGCTTTTTCCCTCACTGGCTGAAAGATGGTGAGAAGGTGGTGATGGGAGTGCGTCCCCTCGTCCTGCTCTCATCGCTTCGTTCCTACCTTTTGTTCCTGTAACAAAGGCGATTAACCCTACCTTTTGTTCCTGTAACAAAGGCGATTAACCCTACCTTTTGTTCCTGTAACAACGGCGATTAACCATACCTCGCCCTGCTCTTCTCCCCTCGTTCGTATAAAGAGAGAACCTTATCCTACCTTTTGTTCCTGTAACGGAAGTAATTGAGCGGGGGCAAGTGCGCACGTGGAAGATGTACGGTTTCTGCAGCCAGGGATGAGGAACACCCTAAGCACCTTCGAGACTCGTACTGAGCGTCAAAATGTAGGGCTTCTGCAGCCACGGAATCTGCTTCTGGGTCGACTCAATAGGAGATGTAGGGCTTCTGCAGCCAGGGGATGAGGAACACCCTAAGCACATTCGAGCCTCGTACCGAGCACCCCTAACCTGACCAATTGTTCGTGTAACGAAGATGCGTACCTTTTGTTCCTGTAACGGAGGTGATGGAGCGGGGGCGAGGGCGAACGTCGAAGATATAGGGCTTCTGCAGCCCTCGCCCTGCGTCTCCGCTCTCACCCTATGGTCTTTTAACCCCTTAGCTGCCCTTTTGTTCCTGTAACGAGGATCCTCACCTTTTGTTCCTGTAACGGAGGTGATGGAGCGGGGGCGAGTGCGAACGTCGAAGTGCGTCCCCTCGCCCTGCGTCTCCTCCAGCACTCCACTCCTATAACAAATGCACCTAACTTTTGTTCGTGTAACGGTAGTTAAGTACCTTTTGTTCCTGTGACGGAAGTGATCGAGCGGGGCCGAGTGCGCACGTCGAAGATATAGGGCTTCTGCAGCCACGGGATCAGAAAGTGCGTCCCCTCGCCCTGCGTCTCCTCCAGCACTCCTCGGAACCGATCGAACAGCACCGCGCGATGCCCGCCGTCGACTGCGGGGAAACAGGTTTGGGAAACAGGTTCGGGAGACAGGATCGAAATCGGTTCGGGAGGCATAGGTTCGGATAACATAGGTTCGAAGACATAAGAAGTGCGTTCCCTCGCCCTGCGTCTCCTCCAGCACTCCGCGGAACCGATCGAAGAGCACCGCGCGATGCCCGCCGTCGACTGCAGGGAGGCGCAGGGTCGGGAAATAGAGATTCGGGAAAAAGGTTTGGAGATATGCGTTCCGTAAACAAGTTTGAGGGGCATAACGAAGGAACGGTACCCGATTAAATCGCCTCAAGACAGCGAAGGTCGGGCAAACAGTCGGCCAAAAGCTAGTAACCGGCAAGAGCGAAATCTCGGATCGTTCGCCAACGCGCAGCATGATCTCGACACGAGGTAACACATACCCGTATAGAGTGACGCGTTAAGCAAGCTGCCGCCCACGCCGAGCGTGATGGCGAGCCTGGCGATGTTCGTCAGCACAGCTGTCGCGGACGAGCTCATGTTGGCGATGTTCGCTAAAAGTCCGCTGACTGTATTACAGGCTTCGTTTCAGCGGCGCTCAGAGCACGAGAGACGCGGCGCTTCGCGAATCCAATCCGGTTCTTCAAAGATCGCGACCACTAGAGGGACAGAGAACTCTGAATCCGCCGTACGATCCACCGGAGAGAACGCGGATAGGAACCGTAACGAATGATTTCGTGTGCGTGGACGAAATCTGGCGAAATCGGCGATGACTTTTGGATCGAACGGATGAAGTGAGAATATCGGGGATCTCAGATATCGGACGGTCCCTAATCGCGCTCCCAGATGCGGACGGACAAAACGCCTACTATGTGGCGAATAGAAGGCTCTAGAGTCCAGGTTACGTTCTGGAAGCACGAGAGGAATGAGGCAAGGTGAGGTGGCGTGTGATGATCTTGATAATCTCAACGAAGAAGCGCGACCTGGCGAGCACGAAATGCGTATGGTAACAAATCGTTCGGCGAAGTCTAGGGCATTGTTCGGGCTTGGCAGCTGTGGCTAATCGCGCTACTTGCAGTTCGGTACTATTGTATATAGAAAATCTGCACTCTGTTTAATAGTGAATCTTAAATTGAACAAACCAATAACTAAGTGTGTCCTCTCGATCAAGCCATCTATTTCACAGTGGGAACCCGTCAGAATGTAGCAAACTCATATCACATGTCCACCACAAAGAAACAATACATTTTTTATTATTGCATACACGTGTCTATTTCGCTCAAGCCTTGGCGGCCTCGGGAGTGGAAGTCGGAACAGCAGTATCAGGAGCCCGAGCAGCCGTGCTTTTGAGGTCCAACAACCCATCCTCCTTGAGCTTGGGGTCAAACCGCAGCACCTCCTTGCAATTCCGCGCCTTGAACGCCGCCTCTAGCTCCCTCTCCACTCGTCTCGCCACCTCCTTCAGTGCCTTCGCCTTGGGAGGCCCGGGAGCAGCATAATCCACTGACTTTTTCTCTTCCTCTGAATAAAAACAAAACAAAACAAAAAAGGAGATACGTAGGTTCATCAATGGGTGCATGTAGGTTTCAGAACATCTCTTAATGATGTGTATCAAAACGGAGCAACACAAAAGCAAGAAGATGCACATGTGGCTGGGGAATGCACATGCATGCGGAGGTTACTCAGTATTCCTGAGGGTGGAAAGCCCTATAATCTGCACTCCACTCGTCCTTGTTGATACAACCACATCATGGCCTTGAAAGGCCAAGGAAGGGCCTGTACCTTTACGAGAGCTAGAAGATTCCTTTCAGTCACTCACCAGTCGATTGAAGAAGGGTTTTGAAACGTCTCAAAACCAGTCATGAGCGGCTTGCAGTCAAGAGGGTTCTCCCACCGGTTCTGCTCCGGCCCCTCGTCGTTCCCCGGGGGGGCAACCCCGTTCTCTGCTATCTATTGGTGCTTGATGGCCTCTAGCACCGCCTTGGAGGGGCGCGTGATGTGGGTGGGCCACCTTACTACAACAGCCCTTTCACTCACCAGTCATGAGAGGCTTGCAGTCAAGAGGGTTTTCCCACCGGTTCTGCTCCGGCCCCTCATCGTTCCCAGGGGGGGCAGCCCCGTTCTCTGCGATCCACTGGTCCTTGATGGCCTCTAGCACCGCCTTGGAGGGGCGCGAGATGTGAGTCACCTTGATCCACGCACATGCACTCGGTACACGTGCGAAGTGCAGCCGCATGCTCTGGTATACCTGGGAGGGACAGGGAGAGGAGGTAAGGGGGCGAGGTGTGTGTGGGGTTTGGGACGGGGGATGGAGGAGGAGGAAATGCGGATTGGCCTTGGTGGGGCGCGTGATGTGGGTTACCATAATCCACGCATATGCACTTGGGACCTTCCCCAAGGTGCAGGCGCATGCTCTGGTATGCCTGGAAGAGGGGAAGGAGAGACGACGGGGGGGAGCTGTAGGGCGGAGGTGGGGGTTAGGAAGTGGGGATGGAGGTGGAGGAAAGGCAGGACGGCCGGGCAAAGTGCAGCCGCATGTCGTGATACCTGCAAGCGCCTTGTGCCATTGCAACGAAGTAACTTTTGAGTCGACTCAAAAGTCACCTCGTTACGATGGAACACGTGGGGGTGGAGGAGGGGGAAATGCAGGACGGCCGGGCAAAGTGAAGCTGCACGGCGAGGTGCAGCGCCTGTCGAAAGTCCCCTCTTTCTGACCCTGCTCACCTGGCGAGACACGCCAATGTACTGTAGCACTTTGTCGTCATTGTAGATGCCATACACAGACGCCTTGGCTCCCGCTTGCGTGCAATCCGTTATAAGCCCCTCCTCTGTAAGATACGGCACCCAGTCTAGATCCGCCATTCGCGGGTGCGCTCCTGCTGCCGCTCCGGCTGCTGCTTTTCCCGTTGCCTCGCTCTTCCGCTGCGCCATCTGCCTGCGCCGATACTCCTCCTGCGCCTGAAATGGTTGGGAGGGGATGCGAGGGTAGGGTTGGCGTGGGGCAACTTAAATCTCCTGAATCACTCTGTAAATCAAAGTCCTCTCCCTCTCCTTCCCCCCCGTTGCCTCGCTCTTCCGCTGCGCCATCTGCCGGCGCCGATACTCCTCCTGCGCCTGCATTGGTCTCGACGGATGGGCAAGTTGGGTTGGCGTGACTGGGAGCGGGTGGGTTGGATTGGGTTTGGCTGGCGAAAGAGTGACCGAAAGACCTCTGCACACATATCATCTCCATCGATATCTCCTTGCCGAATACAAACTATGTAGCTGACTGGGAAAACACGCAGCACCTTCTCGTCATTACACTTCTGGCAGCTCATTCGTGCTATTTGGAACGACCAAGGCCTGCACTAGCAACGCTTTTCTCTGTTACGCCCGATTGAATGTTTTTCGACACAATGTGTTCACATTCTGACCTTACTCGCAATCGTAACTTACCCTGGCGTTGTTACGCATTTTCATTCCGACTTTATTCGCGAGATAACCTTACCCTGGCGGTGGCCTGTCGGGTTTGCTCCGCATGAGCCTCGGCCGCTGCGAGCTTCTGCTTCCACTTGGGCTCCGACGACTGACCCGCATCGCCGTCGCCTGCATTCGCAAATTAACATGGTCCAGAGAAACAGATATGAAACTATTGGAGATGGATGAGTGATGTGTCGGTCAGAATATGTTTGTATCGCGTTCGATGCTAAATAGCACATGCAGCAGCGGAAGTGCAGGTGGACGCCATTTTGGCCTCCGAAATTGATTAGGATCAGGCAGTCTTTACACGGAAATTTTTCTTACCTGCAGCAGCGCAAGTGCAGGCTAAACGTTTGGCCGCAGTCGCATTGGGTCGCAGAGACACGCTGGACTGTCTTGCGACCAGCCGCTGCAAGGAAGCGCTGCAAGCAGGGAGACGACAGTACAACGGGCATGAACAGAAAAAAAAAAAAAAAAAAAAAAAAAAAAAAACCATTCGTGACACCGTTTCATCAGGATGGAACGTTGGATATGGAAGCATACAGGAATCCTCATTCCTATGTAGAACGAATACCTGTGAAGGTGATTGGGGGGTTGGTGAACAACAAGAGGATTCGCCACGCTTTCCGAAGCACGACCAATGTCTGAGCGCTGAGGGGGTTTCACTCACCCGACGGCAGTGGAAGTAGCAAGAGCCTCCATTTCTTCCTCAAAGATGCAAGTAGTTTCAAGAAATGACAGTGGGAGAGGAGAATCTTCAGGAAAACTACTTCAGAGCTAGGAGTTTCGGAGAAGGGATTTGAACAAGAAAATCTACGAGCTTCAGGGACTACTGGAAGTGGAATGACTAGCAAATGTAATTTGATCCGTGGGTGGAACGGACGGAAACAAGGAAACCTGGAGATATGTTTCTCGATTCGTACACAACCGCGCTGAAACGCATTGCAAGAGTTTTGAACACCCTTGTTTGCAGCGAGCTGAGCCTTGGGAATTGTTGTGTTGGAAGAGAGATTTCTGATGCGCCAGTCAGTTGCTGCCAGCATGGATGTGGCCTTCCGCCACGTCGGTTTTGACCTGAAGAGTGGGGAAGCCGAAGCATCCACTTGCTTCCCATTGGTCCACCTTTGATTTGAGAGATTGACTATTGTATAAGCAAGCTCCACAATGATGAAAGTTATATAAGTGTTCAATGAGCTTTCCGAGTATAATTGGTCGTTGCTCATAAGATACTCTTCAAATTGCGTGCAATTGAATTCGGTAAATAGGATTTCGCAGACCAAGTTTTAGGTCTGGCAGCTGGTAATTTCCTGAGTGATTTTCACGAGTGCTACTCTCGTCACTCGTTTGTTAGGACTCCGTCTGTCGCGCGAATTCAGGCTCGACTGATTCCATATCGCGATATCTAACCCGCTCGTTGGTAGGTTCGATTCGACTTTCCGCTAACAATCGCCTTCGTGTCGCTGACAGTCGCCTGCGATGGGCACAGTAACGGACGACCGTCCCGACGACGGTCCCGCAGCTCGCGATGCCACCACCTCCGCCACCGCCGCCGCCGCGACCGCCTCCGCCACCAACCCCACCTCCGCGTCCGCCGCTGTCGCTTCCGGAAAGCGCAAAGAGCGGGAAGAAGGCGCGGGGGACGGCGCAGACGGCGACGAGCAGCGGGATAACCGCGGAACTGGGGGAACGGCGGAAGCAGCGTCTGGGCTGACTGGGGGGGAATTGGCGGAAGGACGGGCTGCGGGGGAAGCGGAAGCGGCGGAAGCGGAAGCAGCGGAAGCGGCGGATCTGGGTCCGGTGGTGGGGCCCGTCATTCCCAAGGCGAAGAAGAAGAAAAAGCCGCTGGTGTTCGAACGCGTGTACCTGGACGCGCTGCCGTCCGCGGAAATGTGAGACTAGATACGTCTTTACAATTTTAGGTTTCAAACCAGCTGCTCTCTTAGGCGTCCCATTACACGGACGTACGTGGACCGTGAGGAAAGCTGCATGCACCGTGATCGGGTAACACACGTGGCCGTCCCTCTCTTTTCTGGCCTGTGCTTCTCTCCAGGTACGAGAAGAGTTACATGCACCGCGACTGGGTGACGCACGTGGCCGTCTCAGATGCTGACTTCTTCATCACAGGCAGCAGAGACGGTGCGTTATAAGCAGAGAGAGAGGGTTCGTTATAAGCAGAGAGAGAGGCTTCGCGATAAGCAGAGTGGGGTTGTTATAAAGAGGAAGAGGTCAAGCAGAGAAGAGTTACATGCACCGTGACTGGGTGACACACGTGGCATTCATCACAGGCAGCAGAGACGGCGCGCTATAAGCAGAGAGAGAGGCTTCGTTATAAGCAGAGATGATTCGGTTGAAGCAGAGAGGGTTCGTAATTAGCAGAGGGGTTTGGTATAAGCAGAGAGGGTCTATTATAGGCAGACATGGTGCTGCATAAGCAGAGGTTGTGTAATTTCTATGAAGTGTGCCAGTTACCATACCATACAGGTGTTTCCGTAGAATGTTTTACCATCCGATTCCCCTTCATCCTCCCTCGGTTACCCCAAATCCAAGCAGGCCACCTCAAGAAGGAGGCAGTGGGGGTGGAGTTTGCAAAGCGCTTGATTGATAGCCCCACCTCCTCCTCTTCCTCCGTATCTTCCCTTCCCTTCCTTCATTGCCTTGCCCCCCTTTGTAACTCCTATCTAACCCTTTCCTACTTCTATCTTAAACAGGCCACCTCAAGTTTTGGAAGAAGAAGGCCGTGGGGTGGGGGTGGAGTTTGCAAAGCGCCCCTTCCCTCCTGCCGCCATCACCTTCCTGTTACCGTTTTTTTCTCCCTCATCGAACCCCCCTTCAAGCAGGCCACCTCAAGTTCTGCAAGAAGAAGGCCGTGGGGGTGGAGTTTGCGAAGTGTCCTTTCCCTCCTGCCGCCATCACCTTCCTGTTACCCCTTTTTTCTCCCTCGTCGAACCCCCCTTCAAGCAGGCCACCTCAATTTCTGGAAGAAGAAGGCCGTGGGGGTGGGGGTGGAGTTTGCGAAGCACCTGATTGATAGTCCCACCTCCTCCTGTTCCTCCCTATGTGACCATGTCCCCTTCCCTTCCTTCATTGCCCCCCTTGTAACTCCTTTCTAACCCCTTCCTTTGTCTAACCCCAAGCAGGCCACCTCAAGTTCTGGAAGAAGAAAGCGATGGGGGTGGAGTTTGCAAAGCACTTCCGAGCACACCTGGGGCCGGTTGAAGGGCTGGCGGTGAGTGGTGCAGTAGGGGTTAGCGTTGAGTGGGGTAGGGGGCTGGTGGGACCCTGTGGAGGGTTGCGGTTTGGGTGTGAGAGTATCGGGTTTTGAACAGGGGGTTCGAAAGAAGAAAACAGGGGGGTGGAGTTTGCCAAGCACTTCCGAGCACACCTGGAGCAGGTTGAAGGGCTGGCGGTGAGTGGTGCAGTAGGGGGCTGGTGGGTGGGACTGTGTGGGAAGTTTCGTTTAGCTTCTATGTTAGCTTCCTCCCTCCCTCTCTTCCGTCCCCCCGTCCTTCTCCCTTCACCCCCCTCTTTGCTCTCCCCTCCATCCCGGTGAGTGCGGATGGCAGCACCAACCTGTTCATGCCTCCGTGTCTTCCACACCCCCCTTTCCCCCTTTGTCGCCAACCCCTCCCCCCACCCCCTTTTCCCTCCGTTCAGGTGAGTGCGGACGGCACGCTCTGCAGCACCATGTCCTCGCAGGACAAGGCAGCAAAGATCTTCGATGTGGCCATTCCATACAGACCTCCCCTCCCTTCCCACCTATCCCTTCACTTCAGGTGAGTGCGGACGGCACGCTCTGCAGCACCATGTCCTCGCAGGACAAGGCAGCAAAGATCTTCGATGTGGCCATTCCATACAGACCTCCCCTCCCTTCCCACCTATCCCTTCACTTCAGGTGAGTGCGGACGGCACGCTCTGCAGCACCATGTCCTCGCAGGACAAGGCAGCAAAGATCTTCGATGTGGCCATTCCATACAGACCTCCCCTCCCTTCCCACCTATCCCTTCACTTCAGGTGAGTGCGGACGGCACGCTCTGCAGCACCATGTCCTCGCAGGACAAGGCAGCAAAGATCTTCGATGTGGCCATTCCATACAGACCTCCCCTCCCTTCCCACCTATCCCTTCACTTCAGGTGAGTGCGGACGGCACGCTCTGCAGCACCATGTCCTCGCAGGTCAAGGCAGCCACGTCCCTGTCTTCCCATCCCTCTCGTTCCCTTTCTGTCTCTCTTCGCCCCCCCCTCTCTCCTCCTCCCCACAATCAGGTGAGTGCGGACGGCACGCTCTGCAGCACCATATCCTCGCAGGACAAAGCCGCAAAGATCTTTGATGTGGCGACCTTCGACATGATCTCAGTGCTCAAGCTGCCCTTCGAGCCCTCCCTTCCTGTCGTCCATACCGCCCTTGACCCCCTTTTCCATCCCCCCTTTCCTCCCTTTCCCCCCTTTCTCCCCTTCCCCAAACCCCCTATTCCCCCCTCCTCCCTCCCTCCCACCAGGTGAGTGCGGACGGCACGCTCTGCAGCACCATATCCTCGCAGGACAAAGCCGCAAAGATCTTCGATGTGGCGACCTTCGACATGATCTCAATGCTCAAGCTGCCCTTCGAGCCGTCCGCCGTTTGCTTCCTCTTCAAGCCCGACAACGCTATAGCGAAACTCGCTATAGCGGATAAGAACTCGCCGGATATCCACGTGTTTGATGCGCGGGGCGGCACGAACGAGGCGGTTGGGAGGGTGAAGGTGCACGGGGCGCCGGTGGTGGCGATGCAGTTCAATGTGGCGGCGAATGTGGTGGTTTCCACTGATGCGAGTGGGATGATTGAATACTGGAGCGCTGACACGTACACGTTCCCTTCATCAAGGTATGCCGTAGGCAGCAGGTGCATGCATGGTGCATGATGCATGGTTCAATGTGGCGGTGAATGTGGTGGTTTCGACTGACTCGAGTGGGATGATTGAGTACTGGAGCGCAGACACGTATACATTCCCTGCTGCCAGGTGGGTGGTAGGTGGAAGGTGCATCGGGCACGGGGCAGTGCAGTGAATGTGGTGGTTTCCGCTGACTCGAGCGGGATGATAGAGTACCGGAGACTAGACACGTACACGTTTCCGTTGTTAAGGTATGTAGTAGTAGCCAGCAGGAGGTGCATGCATGGTGCATGGGGATGGGAGGGTGACGGTGCACGGTGCATGGGGCATGGGGCATGGTGACAGTGCAATGATGCCTATTCTGTCATTCTGTCCGCTCGCTCATCTCCACCGTTCTCCACTCCTGTTCACCCTCCACAGTGTTCGCTTAAGTACAAAACAGACACGGGCCCATTATTCTCTACTAGCATTTGCTGCTTTTTCGTAATCAGCCAGCTCACTCCTCTCCACCGTTCTCCACTCCACTCCTCTTCACCACCCCCCTCCCAGCGTGCGCTTCAAGAACAAGACAGACACAGGCCTCTATGCCCTGGAAAGGCCAAGACTTACCTTGCCAGTGGCTGCTATGCTGCCAGCTCACTCCTCTCCACCATACTCAACCCCTCTCCACCCCTCCCAGCGTGCGCTTCAAGTACAAGACAGACACGGACCTCTATGCCCTGGCAAAGGCCAAGACTACAGCACCTTCACTGGAGGTGAGCGCATTCTAACCCGACTTTACCCAACCCAACCCAACCCAACCCAACCCAACCCAACCCAACCAAACCCAACCCAACCCAACGCAACCCAACCTATAACCGCCGCATGCTGCATGCCTCAAGCAATGCCCTCCCGTTGCAGTTTCACCTCTTTACCCACCCTTTTTCTCTCCCCACCCTATTTCCCCCACCAATCTCCCCCATCAGATCTTTTCACCACGCTGACGGTCACCCTTTCTCCCAGTTTGCCTATGCAAACTTCAGTTCAGACTGGCTCATTCGAGTGTGTTCAGGTTTATCACTGGCAAGCTCAAAATGTCTGCTTCCGGAAATTCTTGTCTCCTCTCATATCACCTCACCTCTCCCACCACTCCCTCCTCATATCACCTCTCCCACCACTCCCTCCTCATATCACCTCTCCCACCACTCCCTCCTCATATCACCTCTCCCACCACTCCCTCCTCTCCTTCCACTCCCCTCCCCCACCTCAACCGCCATCAGATCTCACCGGGTGACTCCCAGTTTGTCACAGACTCTCCGTATCGGCGAATCCGAGTGTTCTGGTTCGCCACTGACTGAGAATGCCCGTTTTCCCTCTCTCCTCTCTCTCCTCTCTTTCCTCTCTCCGCCCTCCGCTCTTTCCCCCCCATCAGATCTCGCCAGACGGCTCCCATTTTGCCACCGTGTCTCCCGACTGGCGCATTTGAGTGTTCTGGTTTGCCACAGTCCGGCTCATGTTGCCTGAAACAGTCCTGCTCTCTCCTCTACTTCCGCTCCCCTCCCCCTGCCTCCCCACCCCCCCCCCATCAGATCTCCCCAGACGGCACCCAGTTTGCCACTGTCTCTCCGGACCGGCGCATACGGGTGTTCTGGTTCGCCACTGGCAAGCTCAGAAGGACTTATGATGAATCACTGGAGGTGCGTACATATGCTTACGACGGGTATGCATATATACTCTAGTGGCTGTCGTCAGTTCGCCACTGTCTCTCCGGACCGGCGCATACGGGTGTTCTGGTTCGCCACTGGCAAGCTCAGAAGGACTTATGATGAATCACTGGAGGTGCGTACATATGCTTACGACGGGTATGCATATATACTCTAGTGGCTGTCGTCAGTTCGCCACTGTCTCTCCGGACCGGCGCATACGGGTGTTCTGGTTCGCCACTGGCAAGCTCAGAAGGACTTATGATGAATCACTGGAGGTGCGTACATATGCTTACGACGGGTATGCATATATACTCTAGTGGCTGTCGTCAGTTCGCCACTGTCTCTCCGGACCGGCGCATACGGGTGTTCTGGTTCGCCACTGGCAAGCTCAGAAGGACTTATGATGAATCACTGGAGGTGCGTACATATGCTTACGACGGGTATGCATATATACTCTAGTGGCTGTCGTCAGTTCGCCACTGTCTCTCCGGACCGGCGCATACGGGTGTTCTGGTTCGCCACTGGCAAGCTCAGAAGGACTTATGATGAATCACTGGAGGTGCGTACATATGCTTACGACGGGTATGCATATATACTCTAGTGGCTGTCGTCAGTTCGCCACTGTCTCTCCGGACCGGCGCATACGGGTGTTCTGGTTCGCCACTGGCAAGCTCAGAAGGACTTATGATGAATCACTGGAGGTGCGTACATATGCTTACGACGGGTATGCATATATACTCTAGTGGCTGTCGTCAGTTCGCCACTGTCTCTCCGGACCGGCGCATACGGGTGTTCTGGTTCGCCACTGGCAAGCTCAGAAGGACTTATGATGAATCACTGGAGGTGCGTACATATGCTTACGACGGGTATGCATATATACTCTAGTGGCTGTCGTCAGTTCGCCACTGTCTCTCCGGACCGGCGCATACGGGTGTTCTGGTTCGCCACTGGCAAGCTCAGAAGGACTTATGATGAATCACTGGAGGTGCGTACATATGCTTACGACGGGTATGCATATATACTCTAGTGGCTGTCGTCAGTTCGCCACTGTCTCTCCGGACCGGCGCATACGGGTGTTCTGGTTCGCCACTGGCAAGCTCAGAAGGACTTATGATGAATCACTGGAGGTGCGTACATATGCTTACGACGGGTATGCATATATACTCTAGTGGCTGTCGTCAGTTCGCCGCTGTCTCTCCGGACCGGCGCATACGGGTGTTCTGGTTCGCCACTGGCAAGCTCAGAAGGACTTATGATGAATCACTGGAGGTGCGTACATATGCTTACGACGGGTATGCATATATACTCTAGTGGCTGTCGTCAGTTCGCCACTGTCTCTCCGGACCGGCGCATACGGGTGTTCTGGTTCGCCACTGGCAAGCTCAGAAGGACTTATGATGAATCACTGGAGGTGCGTACATATGCTTACGACGGGTATGCATATATACTCTAGTGGCTGTCGTCAGTTCGCCACTGTCTCTCCGGACCGGCGCATACGGGTGTTCTGGTTCGCCACTGGCAAGCTCAGAAGGACTTATGATGAATCACTGGAGGTGCGTACATATGCTTACGACGGGTATGCATATATACTCTAGTGGCTGTCGTCAGTTCGCCGCTGTCTCTCCGGACCGGCGCATACGGGTGTTCTGGTTCGCCACTGGCAAGCTCAGAAGGACTTATGATGAGTCACTGGAGGTAATCATACAGGCTTACATATATGTCTGTGTAGGTGTTTAAGCATGTATACACATATATGCATGTAGAGATGTACATATATATATATATATGCATACATATATATACATATATGCATCTCTACGTATTCTTGACTGTACACTCACATAGGTACACATATATGCACGCTAAAAAAAAAAAAAAAAAAATCCGTCCCACTCCCATTCCCGTTTGATCCCATTCCATCTGCTTTTCCTGCAGGCAGCACAAGAACTACAGAGGGGGGACGTGCCTTTGTACCGGCTGGACGCAATCGACTTTGGGAGGCGACTGGCAGTGGAAAGGGAGATGGAGAGGGAGCGGGAGAGCAACGACGACGTGCCGTCGCCCAATGCTGTCTTTGACGAGACGGGCAATTTCATCATTTACCCGACGCTTCTGGGGATAAAGGTGGGTGTCGTGCGTTTTGTTGCCAGCTCTTTTGCTTTCGTTAGGGAGTTCAGTTCAGCAAGAGCATTCAGCAAGAGGAATTTTGCAAGAGGGTTTTTGCGAGAGGATTCAGCGAGAGAAGGCACCAATGGTGTCAATCTGCACAATTTTTTGGCAAGGTGACTTCTGAGTCGACCCAAAAAGTCACCTGGTTATAATGCCACACAACACGGGTGGGACCTGGGACCTGAACGTTTTATGTGGCGTGGGTGGGATGGGACCTCGTTGTGCTCTCGCATTCCAATCTCTGTCATCCCTCCTCCCTTACTCCCCCCTCAGGTGGTGAACCTGCATGCATGAGAACAAGGTGGCTCGCATTCTCGGCAAGGTGGAGAGCAGCGAGCGCTTCCTGCGTTTTGTTTGAGGTTGATTTTGAGAATTCTCAAAATCAACCGCTTCCTGCGCATCGCTCTGCTTGTCTCGCTGCTTCCCCCCCACCAAGGGGGGGCAAGGCAAGGCGGCGATCCATCTCCCTTTTTGCTGCTTGTCTCGCTGTTCTCCTCCTTCCCCGCAGGTTGTCAATTTGCATGAGAACAAGGTGGCGCGGATCCTGGGGAAAGTCGAGAGCAACGAGCGGTTTCTCCGAATCGCGCTGTACCAGGGGTTCAATGCAAGGCAACGCAGCGAACCGTCTCCCGTTCTCTCTGCGTCTCTGCCTCTTTCCGTTTCTGCCCTTTCCTCTCAGGTGGTGAACCTGCATGAGAACAAGGTGGCTCGAATCCTGGGGAAAGTGGAGAGCAACGAGCAGTTTCTCCGAATCGCGCTGTACCAGGGAGGCAAGGCGGCGAGGAGGATAAGGAAGATGGCTACCATTGCCAACTAACGCAAAGGACATCTTCCCTCTTCTCTTCCCACACCACACTTAGGTTGTGAACCTACACGAGAACAAGGTGGCACGGATCCTGGGGAAGGTGGAGAGCAACGAACGCTTCTTGCGAATTGCACTGTACCAGGGGGGCAAGGCGGCAAGGCGGATCAGAAAAATGGCGACCATTGCGAATTCTCAAGACGCCAAGGGGGGGCCGTCCGTGGACCCTACCCTGATCGCATGTGCTTTCAAGAAACACCGATTCTACCTCTTCAGGTGAGGAAGGTGGGGGGCTGGGGGGCATGTTGTGAGGTGCCTCGAAGGGCGGATAAGGAAGATGGCGACCATTGCCAACTCGCAGGACGCCAAGGGAGGGCCGTCCGTGGACCCTACCCTGATCGCCTGTGCCTTCAAGAAACACCGATTCTACATGTTCAGGTGGGTGCTTACCCTCGGGTGCTGCTTCTGCCTCTTCAGGTGCTGCTTCAGCAGCAGTAAGGGTTGAGATGAGGCGCTGCAGTACCCGGCCAGGGAGGCAAGGCGGCGAGGCGGATGAGGAAGATGGCTACCATTGCCAACTCACAGGACGCCAAGGGCGGGCCGTCCGTGGACCCCACTTTGGTGGCCTGTGCCTTCAAGAAGCACCGCTTCTACATGTTCAGGTGGGTGCCTCAGGTGCAGTGGGGGGCATCAGCAGCAGTAGCCTGTAGGGGGTGAGGCGCTGCTGTACCAGGGAGGCAAGGCGGCGAGGCGGATGAGGAAGATGGCGACCATTGCCAACTCGCAGGATGCCAAGGGCGGGCCGTCAGTGGACCCCACTGTGGTGGCGTGTGCCTTAAAGAAACACCGCTTCTACCTCTTCAGGTGGGCCTTGAGGTGTTCCTGGTGTGTTCTCAGGTGCCTCAAATGCGGAAGTTGCCCTGGGAGCACCTCAGAAATTAATCAACTGGCGTTTTGTTAGCGAGAAGAACCACCGCGTTTGTGCTGTGCTGGCCTGTGGCGTTAAGAAGAATCGCATCTACATAGGGCTCCAGGTGCTGTTTCAGGTGTTTCAGGTGCTGCTGCAGGTGCTTCAGTCAGCAATGTGTTCACTGAGAAACCTTGGCCAGAAAAAATGTTACTCCGAACTGTTCATTTCTTTGCAACCTTCCCGACGCCTCTACAGCCCTCTCCACCCATCCGGTCAGCGCGAGCTAGAGGAGGGAGACGAGCCATCACAGGGCAGAGACGTGTTCAACGAGAAGCCACCACCGGAAGAGATGCTTGCTCTGATCTGAGCCTTTCATGCCGTTTATCCCTTTTCACCCGTCTGCACTCCCTTCCACCGCACTCCACCGCACTCAATCCCATGTCACCACCACCAGTCAGCGCGAGCCAGAGGAAGGGGAGGAGCCATCACAGGGCAGAGACGTGTTCAACGAGAAGCCTCCGCCGGAAGAGATGCTTGCGCTGGCTGAAGTGGCGAGAACCGGAGCCTCTGCTTTGCCAGAGAGTGTGGTGCGTGCCTTGCATTGCGCTGTCTTGCGTTACGCTGTCTTGCATTGCGCTGTCTTGCATTGCGCTGTCTCGTATTGCATTGTCAGTGGCATTGTATGGCACAAGGTTGGTGTCAATGGAGTTTCGTGAATGAAGTGTATTTTTGAGACGTCTAAAAAATTCACTTCATTCATTGTCGGTGGCATTGTATGGTACAAGGCTGGTATCAATGGAGCTTCTGAAAGGAAGGCACCAAGCAATGCTTGCTCTGGCTGATGCGGCAAGAACCGGAGCATTCGCTTTGCCTGACAGTCTCGCATTGCTTTGTCAGTACGTTATTGACGTCGAGTGAGTGATGAGACGTCTCAAAGGCAGCATGCTGAGTGATTGCCTTTCAAAGCCGTGCTCGGTATCTCAAAACTCTAAGCATACTCTCCCCTTCCTTTCCCTCTCTTTCAGCAGAATTTTTAACATACTCTCCCCCCACAGGTGATGCACACCCACATGGGTGACATTCATCTAAAGCTCTGCCCAGAGGAATGCCCCCTCACCCTCCCTTCCTTGCTGTTGCATCTCCACTCCCCTCCCTCACCCCCCCTTCCTTGCTATTGCACCTCCGCTCCCTTCCTCCCGCCTTCCCCCCCCCACAGGTGATGCACACGAACATGGGTGACATCCATTTGAAGCTCTACACAGAGGAATGCCCGCGCACAGTAGAGAACTTCACGACCCACTGCAGCAACGGGTACTACGAGGGGCTGCTGTTCCACCGGGTCATCAAGGGCTTCATGGTGCAGACCGGCTGCCCGCTGGGCGACGGCACGGGCGGCCAGAGCATCTGGGGAGGCGAATTCGCCGACGAGTTCCACAAGAGGTGGGCTGGAGGGAGGTGGGAGTGGGGGGGCAGGGGTTGGAGATAGGGTGGGAGAGGGGTGGGCAGGGGGTGGAGATAGGGTGGGAGAGGGGTGGGGGATGAGTGGGGATTCGCCACTGTTGCTTCTCCTTTCTGCCCACCTTCTGCCTTCCTTTTTCTCCCCTTTCCTCCCCTCTCCCCTCCGCACTCCCTTTCTCTACAGTCTGCGTCACGATCGCCCCTTCACGCTATCGATGGCCAACGCAGGCCCCAACACCAACGGCAGCCAGTTCTTCATAGCCACCGTCGCTGCTGATCCTCTCTTCCCTTCCCCATCTCCCTCTCCTTGTTTCTCTCCCCTTCCCTTCCTCGTTTCCCTCCGTTCCAGTCTGCGCCACGATCGCCCGTTCACTCTATCGATGGCCAACGCAGGCCCCAACACAAACGGCAGCCAGTTCTTCATCACCACTGTTGCCACGCCTTGGCTTGACAACAAGCACACCGTGTTTGGCCGTGTGGTTAAAGGCATGGACGTAGTACAGGTGAGGGAGAGTGTTTGGTGCAGATGAGGGTGTACGGATGGGTGCTGATGGGTTATGTATGTATGGGCTTGTTTGCGTTCCTCATCACCACGGTCGCCACTCCTTGGCTCGACAACAAGCACACCATGTTCGGCCACGTGGTGAAAGGGTTGGACGTAGTACAGGTGAAAGAGGGGAGAACGTGAGATGTTAAGATCCTCAGAAAACGTGAGAGGCACTTCTCTTCTCTGCCCCCTCTTTTCCCCTTCTCCCCTCTCCCGTCATCACCTCTTTTCCCCCGTTCCCCTTTCCTCTCCTCCTGTCCCCCATGCATCAGCTTATTGAGAAGGCCAAGGTGGATCGCAACGACAAGCCATACGAAGATATTAAGATCTTAAATGTGACCGTGCCCAAGTAGGGCCAGCCGACTTGAATGATACCAATACTTGAGAATTGCGCTCAGTGGATTGTGTTGGGCTGAGAAAAAGCCCTTAGGATCTTTGCAGGAGTGAACTCTGGGTAGGACTTGTTGTAATTAGCGGAAGCTTTAATGAGAAGTGCTTGAACCACCTTGCGCTAGTATGTGAGGGCAAAGTCGATTGATTAAGACAAAGAGATACAAGATTATATAAGAGTACAAGGAATATGAAGGGATACGGTTATAACTGTTATACTGTTTGCTGTTGCGGTTCGATACAGTGACGACTCGGGCAACTGTTCTGTAGCGAGTCAGTTGTGTGTCCTTGCTGTCGCGCTGTATTTGTCAGGTCAAAGGTCGCTGACCTTTGACTTTCGCGTAACCTCCAGCGGTTACTTCAACCTCCGAGGGTTGACTCGCTGGTGCCTCGATATGCTTTGCTTCGCTTGTGTCTTGGTGTTTCGACACGACAGAGGCGCTTAAGACTGATTGTTTCCAACACTCCCCTTCGCTTCTGGAGTGTCGCTGCTGGTGACGTGGCTCTGTCCAGTCAGCAGCATGCAGTACTCGAACTTCTGCTTTCCGAGCTTCTTGGTCAGGTAGTCAGCTGCCATCTCGGACGTGGGGCAGTATGACAGCTCGAGCCTCCCTTTCTCGATCTCGTCCTTCACGAAGAAATATCGCAGGGCAATGTGTTTCGTCCTGTTCGCGAAGCCGTTCTTGTTGGCAATGCGAATTGCCGACTGGTTGTCGCATAACAGAGTGAAGCTGGGTAACTGAGCCAGCTTCGCTTCTTCCAGCAGTTCGCGAAGGTAAAGTCCTTCCTTGGTGGCTGAGCAGAGTGCAATATATTCTGCTTCAGCTGACGAGAGGGCGATTAATTCCTGCTTGCTCGACTGCCAAGAGATAGGTCCGATAGGTTCGAGGCGGTAGATGTAGCCAGTGCGAGAACGCCTGTTGTCGGAATCGCCAGCGTGATCGGCGTCGACGTAGCCGATTAACTTAGGCGGCGTAGTTGCGTTCTTGTAATAAGTTAGACCAATCGTCGGGGTGCTAATGAGGTAATGAAGAGCGCGGTCGAGTTCTGCTAGATGTTCCGCTTCGGGCCTCTTGAGGTAGGTGGCGAGTTGACTTGCAGAGTACGATAGATCTGGGCGGCAGGTGACAGCTGCGAAGAGAAGGCAGCCCAGCTTTCTCTGGTAGTCGCGTATGCCGGCGGGATTGAGCAGAGCGGAGCCTTCTTTGTTGTTTCCTGTCGTGTAGCGGTACGGTGTGGAGATAGCAGTTGGTGTGAGTGTGAAGCGCTTGGCGATGGTGTCGGCGTATTTCGCGGCGCTGAGGTAGATGGCGTCTTCCTCTTCCCGGATGTTGAGCCCGAGGTACTGTGTAACGGTAGGTGAGACTGTCAGTGTGAGATCCTGCTGCAGCTCCCCTTCGAACCAGGTGGTGACGCTGTCGGTTGAGCCGATGTAGAGGAGATCGTCTACGTAGACGATTAGCAGGATGTAATCTGCGCCTTTCGTGAGTCGGTACATCCCCTGATCGTGTGGTAATTGCTTGAAGCCGATGCGAATGAGGCGGGCGTGCAGGTACTGCTGCCATAGCCGCGGAGCTTGCTTGATCCCGTAGAGCGACTTTAGCAGCTGACAGACTTGGTTGGGCTCCCCATTGGTACCGTGCGGTAGTTCCACGAAAATTTCTGCGTCAACGGGTGCGTAGAGAAAAGCGTTCGCGACATCGATTTGCCGTAGCTTCTTTTTCTTCATGGCGGCGATCGCGAGAAGGATTCGGAGCGAAGTGTGTCGGCTGACCGCAGCGAAAGTTTCGGTGAAATCTCGCCCGTGTTCTTGGTCGAAGCCGCGCACGACCCACCGTGCCTTGAATTTGTCAATGGTGCCGTCGGCCTTCGTCTTCACGCGGAAAACCCATTTTCCGGTGAGAATGGTTTTGTTCCGTGCTACGCCGATGGGGACAATTTTCCACGTGTTGCGCTCCTCTAATGCCTTCAGTTCTTTGTCCATGGCTTCGCGCCATTTTTCCCTATGCTCCCCCCCCAGAGCCTGCTGAACTATGGCAGGCTCCTTAGGAATGGCCGTGCCGTGGACTGCGGTGACGAGCCCGAGTATCTGGAGTCCACTCGGTGTGTAGCGGGGGAGTGACATGTCCGCGGGATAAGCAGCTTCGTCTCCCGCTTCCGGATCAGGTGCGAAGTTGGGTCCTACGCGTTCTGCTTCGTTGGTGTTTACTTGTGCAGGTGTAACGTAACCGTTGTCAGCGAAATGGTAGTAGGCGTCGGCGTTGATGCTTTCGCGTGGGTTTTCGTCGTCCATTGGCACGTCAACGGAGGAGTAGGGGAGGGGTCCGGCTTCTTCTGAGGCTCCTTCCACGTTCTGCTCGTCCAGGTCAGCTTCATCTTCTGCCGAAGCGAAGGCTCGGTCTCCACGGAAGCCACCTGTGGGGTCTCGGTTTTCGTCCAGGTTGGCAAGGTACGTCTGCAGTGTGAGTCGCTCGTAGAAAATGACATCACGTGCTGCCACTGTTTCTTTTGTCTCGACGTCGAAAATCTTCCATGCATTGTAGTGTTTTTCGATGCCCAGGTGTAGTCCCCACTGTGCGCGTTGAGAGAATCGTCCTGCTCGTGCAGATGGAGGTCGGTACTGTACCATGCAGCCGAAGACTCGTAACATTTTTGTGCTGCCCAATTTTCCTGTCCACAGCAGATGCGGTGATGTGTTGTTCGGGAGTGACGACGAAGAAAGCAAGTTGTGCAGCAGCACGGCGTGGTCCATTGCTTCGGGCCACTGGTGGTTGGGTAGCCGCATGCCACGTAACAGTTTCCGCATGGTATTCTGTAGGGTCCTGTTCATCCTTTCTGCTACACCCTGCTGTTGATGGGCGTAGGGAAGGGAAATGAGTCGCTTGATTCCTCTCTCTGCCAGATACTGCTTGAACCTTTGTGAGGTGTATTCTCCTCCCCCGTCTGACTGGAAGCTTTTTAGTTTGACGCCCGATTCCCTTTCTGCTACGGGGAGCCAGGCGACGAACGCTTCGAACGCCATATCCTTGCTTGGAAGATTCAGGTGCCAAACGTAACGTGTCGCGGCGTCGATGAACGTGATGGTGTAATTGTACGCGTTCTGCCCCGGTTCGCGATTGTACAGGATGTCGCTGTACACTTTCTCGAGTGGCGCGTAAGCTGGTGCGCTTGGGTTATGGTGAGACGCGAACGGTTGATGCGGTAAGTCAGCTTCAGGGCAGGTGAAACACGTTCCACGTACTCGTTGAAGTTCTCTTCCATCAGTCAGTAATAGTGAGTCCTTGTCGAGTACTCCTGCTCTTATCGTATTATTTAATACTGTGTTGCTTGGGTGTCCCATCCTTGCGTGCCAGGTGCTTTCGTCGGCGCGATGTCCGGGTGATCGTCGGTACAGGTCGGAGTTGGAGTAGAAGCTGGCGGTGAAGTTGGCGCTTCGATAAACTTCTCGTGGTGCTGGGTGTAGTTGTTGCGCGGGTGTCGGTGGTGTGTCGTCGACGAGGAGCGGTGCCGTTGAAGGGCCAGCGATTGGTGTTGACGTTCCTGCTGCTGCCGTTGACGGTTCTGCTACTGCCGATGTTGTCTCTGCTGCCGCCGACGTTGTCTCTGCTGCTCACGATGTTGCTGCTGCTGATGTTGTCTCTGCTGCTGCTGATGTTGTCTGAATTGTTGCTAACGCCCTTGTTCATTCTGCCTCAGGAATGGTGTGTGAATACCAGAAGCCTTCTGGACTGAAGTTTGGATCAAGATCTGGAGGGTGGGTCCAGGAGGTGAAGGTGACGATGCCGTCGCTGTCTGCTGTGCCGAGATCTGGGACAAAATCAAGAACGAAGACGTTGTTTTTTAGGATCGCCTTTCCGATGTAGAGGCCGCCCTTCCCGTGGTACAGCTTGAACTCCTGGGTGGTGCTGTCTGCCTCAAGGTGAATGCCCTTCGCCATCAACTGACTGACGCTCAGTAAGTTGTAGCCGAGGCCTTCTGCGATCAAAACCTTAGACATTTGTAGAACGACATTTGTCTCTCGTGATTGAAGTTGTACCACGCCTTGTCGTCGTGTGCGCAGGTTTTGATTATTGGCGACGGTAATGACGACTTCGCGTTGAAGATGGTGTTCGCGTTGAACGAAGCGTCCCGAAGAACACATATGTTGCCCGCAGCAACTGTCCAGGAACCATGTGTCTTTCCCGGATGGTTCACTCTGGGCGATAGCTGCGTATGTTGGATTCGGTTGAAGTGACTCGCGGCGAGGTGTGGTGTTGTCGAGTTGTTCTTCCGGTGAGTAGTGTGGCGGTGACTCGGTGATGCAGGAATCGGTCAATTTTGCCATGCAACTGACGATGTTCCTTGCTCCTTGTGCAGGTTGTCCCGTCAGTGTCGTTTGAGCTTGAGCGGTGGGGTTCGCTTGTATGGAAGTGACTTGGCTGCTTGAAGGTCGAAGCTGTCGCTGTGAAGGCGTTGACTGTTGTCGATTCGGGCAGTGCGTGCGCGGGTGCCCTGACGTCTTGCAGATGTGGCAGAACGGAGGTACGGGTTTCGGTTGTTGTTGTTTGTTGTTGTCGTAGCGTCGCTGAGTATGGAATGCGAATTCTGGTGTTGATGTCTTCTTCTTGTGTCGTTCTTCTTGCAGGTCCATGTCTTGCTGCTCGGCGTGGATTTCGGCGCAGAGCGCTGCTTCGGAGATTCTTCCGTGGGCTCGGAGAATGGCCTTTGTTGCGCGCCATTGAGGACCGAGGCCGCCAATGATAACTGTCACGAAGGCGTCTTCAGAAATCGACCCTCCGCATCGAAGAAGCTTGTCGCGCAACTCGCGACATCGGCTGATATACGCCATTCCTTTCTCGCCTGCTTTCATTTCGACCGTTGTCAATTGCGCCATTAACCGACTTTGATTTACGCTGTCTGTTGCTTGATACAGGCTCTTCAAGTGGTTGTATGCGAGCTCCGCGGAGTTGCCGTAACCCCGGTAAGACCGTATATTCTGCTGTTGGGACGGGGTGATGTTTCTGAGTAAAATCGTGTACGCCATCATCGACTGATAGGTGTACTGCTGCTTCTCATACTGTGTGCCGTTCGTTGGGTATGGCAGGGACCCGTCGAAGAAGCCAAGTATCTGCGCGCCTTCCATCATTAACTCGAATTCAAACGATCAGGTGAAGAAATCCTTTCCATCGAAAGGTCTTGACGTCTGCATCTTTAGAACGTGCGCGAACTGCGACTGAACTTGTAATGCGTCCAGTGGCTTTTCTTGTCCAGGTGAAGGCTGCGGGTGTGGCATAAAACTGATGGACCCGCGCTCGTACGGAGCAAAGGTAGGCTGCTGTTGATTTCCTCGTGCGTATGATGAGCCGTCGAGACTCATGGGAGTTGCTCCGTTGTTGTTGTTGCTGTTGTTCGACTGCGCAGGTGCTGACTGTTGGTGTTGCTCGTAGAAGGACATGAAGGAGAAAAACTTCTCCATCATGCTCTGATCGAATCCTGCAGGTTGATTCGCAGGAGTCTCGGTAGAAGTTGCTCTTGGTCTTGTTGTCGTGCCCTCCTCTGTCTGCAGGCCAGAGGCAGGAGGTGGAGTAGGAGTAGTACCCTGTGAGCCGTTAGAGGAGCTCCTTTCCTTTTGTGTAGCCATGCCTGTAGATGTTGTAGGTATCTTGATAGTTGAGTTCCCCCTGATAGCTCTCATACCATGTTGGGCTGAGAAAAAGCCCTTAGGATCTTTGCAGGAGTGAACTCTGGGTAGGACTTGTTGTAATTAGCGGAAGCTTTAATGAGAAGTGCTTGAACCACCTTGCGCTAGTATGTGAGGGCAAAGTCGATTGATTAAGACAAAGAGATACAAGATTATATAAGAGTACAAGGAATATGAAGGGATACGGTTATAACTGTTTTACTGTTTGCTGTTGCGGTTCGATACAGTGACGACTCGGGCAACTGTTCTGTAGCGAGTCAGTTGTGTGTCCTTGCTGTCGCGCTGTATTTGTCAGGTCAAAGGTCGCTGACCTTTGACTTTCGCGTAACCTCCAGCGGTTACTTCAACCTCCGAGGGTTGACTCGCTGGTGCCTCGATATGCTTTGCTTCACTTGTGTCTTGGTGTTTCGACACGACAGAGGCGCTTAAGACTGATTGTTTCCAACAGATTGTAATGCCAAGACTCAAGCAATACGAAGATATCAAGAACCTCAATGTAACCGTGCCCAAGTAGGGCCAGCCATCTTGAGAGTTACGGTACTTGCAAAACGAGCTTGAGAACGTTCTTAGAGGATCACATATCACAGACTACACATCTAGTACGGCGATATGCCTTCTCAAGTGCCGCAATTTTTTCTCCAATTAGATGTGCAGTGCAGTCAGATGTGCAGCATACAATATCATCGCTCGACTAAGTTAACAGTACTTGGATGCCAGTAATGTTCTACATCAAGTATATGCACATGTATATCTACAATACCGTACATCAATCTAGACTCCGTGGTGTACAATATATATATATATATATATAATATAAGCCATGAAATTCAACAAAACTATTGTCTCCTATGTTGTGTCTCCTATGGACTGTCAAAATTGGCAGCTCTGGTGGGTAAAACCAGAAGCTAGAGGCAAAATTGTGGCAGCGCAGCAGGACAAACTGCTCGCTCACCATCTGAGGGCACACTGCCGTGCCCATCCTCCCCGCACAACATTTCAATGTGTCCATCCCCCACATCATTATAAGCACCTGGTGCCTGTAGCTGTCCCATCCCATTGCTGCTGCTGGGGGAGGGCTCACTGCTCAACCCAACCTGCTCAGTGCTGTGGAACAGCAAACACATCTGGCGGGAATGAGCTGCCCCTCCTAAGCACATCAAGCTCGCGTGATTTATTAACACTATGGCCGAGCTGTTGAGAATACTACCACTCGTCGCCCACACTCCCTGCTGCTGGCGCCAAGGGGATGCCTGCAGCCTCACCGCCTCCCTGCTCGGGCACACTACTGAAGGGCTTTTGAAGCGCCTCAAAAGCCCCCCTCCCCGCACTCCCTGCAGCTGCCTGCAGCCTGCAGCCTCACCGTCCCCCTGCTCGGGCACACTGCTGAAGGGCAGAGAACCGTCTCGCAGGAACGCAGCGGCCCTGGAAGAGAGCGGCATCCGCTGGATGGCACCGCTGCTGGCACGAAGCGCGTGCAGCCACAGCAGCAGAAGCTGCGAAGACAGGAGCAGCAGATGCGTGGAAGCTTGTAGTTGGAGCAGGTGGGGCGGCAGCACGAGCAGCAAATGGGCTGGCAGCAGGAGTAGCCGTCACATCATCTGGGTACTTTTTGGAATTCCCCAAAACACCCTCCGACTTCAATGGGATGGCAGCAGGAGCAGTCGTCACATCAACGCAGCAGTCAGATGGAGTAGGAGAGGTGACGACAGAGACGGTTGAAGCGTCCTGATAAGAACTGTAGCCACCACCATCCACTGCAGCCTTATCCGTATCCCCCGCCACTGCTCCCACCTTCTCCATCCTCTTTAAGGGCAAATTACCCTCCATCCCTTCCTCCACCACACTCCATCCCTTTACCTAACACCTCCACCCCCTTCTCCTCCATCCTCTTCCCCACTACTCTCCTACTGAGCGCAGCCATCCACTTAGCGTGCAGATACTCCCCCTTGCGCCACGGCGGAACGTGCATGCCGTGCGCCCGTAAAGCCCCCCGCATCGCGCCAGATACCACCTCCACCAGCCGCGCCACCCGCTCCGCCCGCCCCACGAAGACCAACGGTGTGGATTCGAGCGCTGCCGCGTACTCGCGCGTGGGCCGTGCGATCTGGAACTGCGCGCGGAAATCAACGTCTATGATGAAGCGCTGGGGGGTGGCGTCGGAAGGGGGGGCGTCGAAAGCGGGGGCGACGGCAGCGCCATTGGCGGAAGCGGAGGAGGCGCGAGGGAAGAGGGAAGCGGCGTTGGCGGTGGTCGGGGAGGAGGTGGTTCGTGTGAAGGTGGGACTCGGAGGGGAGGGTGTGTTGTGGAAGGTGGAACTGACAAGGGTGGAACTGGGGGAGGCTGATGCGTGTGCGGGAGCGAGCGAATTTGCGGAAATAAGGACGTCGATGTACTCGTATGATCCTGCATGACCGACAGAGGAAAGTGGAGGAAAGTTAGTATTGTGATAAGCTGAGCGCAAGATGAGGAACATCTACGGATGTGAAAGAAATTTAACGACCGATGCATGAGGCAGGTCGCAGTGCGAAGCGAGGGATAAAAAAAATGGCATAGCACGAGAGTGCAGGGAGTTATTGCTTACCCTCGGGAATGGAGGGAGAGGTGTCCCATTGCGTCGTGCAAACCGCCGCGTCGTATCCCATCGCACGCAGTCGCCCTGCGACCGCCGCGTTCAGGCTGCTCCCGCGCAGCTCCTGCGACTGGATGTCGTCGCACGACGATTTCGCAGCGCCATTCGAGGCGTGGCACGCGCGCGCGTCGGTCATCGCGGCGATGACGTCAGCGTAGAGAGCGCGCTCGGCGGAATCATCCATGGCTGCTAGCGACTGCTCATGAGAAACAGAGCGGCGAGGGAGTGGAAGAAACACGGGGGATTAGTACTGTTAGAAGGGTGACTACCAGTCGGTTCGTCGCTCACATGCTCATAAAGTGAGATGAGGGGCATAGATGAGCAACGACAGAAGGGTAAATGCTTGCGGATGGCCACCGAGGAGGCGAGGCAGTGCCGTACCTGAATCATGCGAAGCTGATTTTGCTCCGTCGATTGCATCTGCCTCTCCAGATAATCCGCTGACAGCCGTCGATTCAGTTGCGACTGTGCTGGATGCGCAGCGCGCACAGTATTCGATGCTGCTTCTCCGTGGAGCTCTGTTCTCAGCATCAAGCCGTCGAGCGCGTCGCGATCCTGATCGCCCTCGAAATCGCCCTCTTCGAGATACTCGGAAATCATATCCTCGAGGTGCATCGAGGAGGGGACTGACACGTCAGAGGCCACGTCAGCGCCTGATACGGGCGTGATTGGCGAGTTTTGTGGCCGGAGGACGAACGCGTCGCCGCGAATCAGATGCAGCCCGCAACGACCGGCGGGATTTGCGGATATGCTCAGAAAATCGCTCCCGCGAGGGACCGACTGTTGCGCGACCGTCATTTGCGGAGGTTGAAAAAGGTGTTGGTGTAAATGCGGCGGGAACGAAGGAACGTCCTGCTGAAAGGGCGCCGGCGACTGCTGCTGGAACGAAGGAGCAGCGGGGCCTAACAAAAGGCCTAGATTTGCAGGGACATTGACGGAGGCAGTTTCCGCGGTCGACACACGAGTCTCCTTGCTGAAAGCGTGGGCGAAGCGAGAGGAGCTCTGGGACGATAGAATGCTGAGAAGGCCTGGCATGGCGCCTGGTCGATTGGTACGGCCTCAGACCTCGAAATGTGCGAAAGACAGGCGGAGGGGGGAGCACAGGCTTCTTAGTGAAAGAAGAGTACTGCTTGGGTAGTAGTGCAGCTGTGGACGGCCTTTCAAAGTTGCGAAAGGAATCTGTAGAGCTGACTGTTTGAAGCTGAGGATAAGAGTGGCGGGAGAGTGACGTATGGCTGGATCTAAAAGCAGAAGCGCGGCTTCAAAGCGACGAGGCAAGATCCTGCGTTGGGTTCACACGTTGAGCGGACTGCTTTCGGCTCGACACGGGGTGACGTGACGTGTCAGATGGCAGGAGAGGTAGCGTGTGGAACGCGAGATGCGGAGCACTAGCCCGAACCATCTATTATCCGCATCTACGTAACGCGAATCACCAGCGTGTAGATGCTGCTGTTTCGCTTTCCAGTCTGCTTCGTCACGAGAGGATTACAACCAACCAATCAGTCAGGACGCGTCACCTCTCTCGATTTTGCACGATCGATCCTGCGCAGGATCGAATGTTTACGGAGTTGAAAACAGTTCAAAAGAAGTAAAATGTAACAAGCATGTTTTGAGTGCGGTGGGCGATCGGTTTTTGATGATCGATCATGCAAAATCGAGAGAGGTGACGCGTCCTCAGTCTGCCGACAAAAAGTCCCTCCAAGGTGTAGTGGACGTTCAGGGGTCAAGGGAACCTCACCTCACACGTCGCCCTCTGTTCTGCTGCCTTTCTGGCCAAACAAGGTGTGGTGTGTGGCCTGGAGTCGAAGGCGAGGGTGGGGGGGCTGCTCACAACTTGCGCCCTGCTGGCAAGATCAAATACAGTACAGCAGAGGAAATGCGCTGCTGTGCGTGAAATTCGAATTTTGCGTCTGCTGCTGTGGTCTCGACTCTTGATTCCAAAACTGGATCAGAAAAGAGGGGAGCAGAGGTGGTGGTGGTGGTGCGGTGCGGTGTGGAGGCAGGAGGAGAGGGACAGTCGTGAGTTGGGTAGGAGTGGATGGAGCAGAGCGTTTACGAATTGGAGGTGATTGGTTTGGCTGGAAACCGCGCCGCGCACAAATATGAACACGCAGCGCGCTTCCCTTCTCGCACCTAGACCGCACCTCCAAGTCAGCAGAGTTTCTAATTCGAGTTTCCCGTTACAGAAGTTTCACAAGGCAAAAGAAAAACCAACCGTCAGCGATCCGACGGTTCTACAACCATCTCGAAGCGAGGATTGCGGGTCTGGCGGAAGAACGTTGCGTAATTGGAAGATTCCAGACGAGTTTAGATGATTCCGTTTGGCTTGGTCATCCTGCCACTCAAACCTACAAGCCCGTTTTTGCTGGTCAGTGCTCACGGCGGGAGATGCTCTGCCCAGAAGGAAAGATGCTGGAAATCACCCGAGTGGCTGTGGGCAGCGAAATTCTGAGGGGAGGTGTGACGTGACGATTCCTTCCCTTATTGACGATGGCGTGTCACTTACGTACAGTCGATGTGGCCACCTCCTAGCCTCGGATCTTGGACAGGCGGCCAGTTGACTGCCCTTCTATTGGCTGCGAAGGTAATGGGGAATGGAACTCCACACGCAACCTTACCTGCACCTCGATTGTGTGGTAGTTGGAAATTTGTCATAAACCTTGCCATCAACCCTAAAAAGAACAATAAAGCTGAGTACACTGTGAAGACAACCTGTACCGCTTATATTAGTTTCGGATCCCTTCAGTGCATGTGCTAAATCGTATCTGAGGGTCTGGCAACAAATTTCTGACAATAGACAAGGAAAGCAACGCGAATATTTCCGACGATCATTCACGAGAGCAAGGGGGGTGCTCAAGGGCTCTGTATGAACGTAGGCATGAATCATGATTGCATCACTCTTGCGCATCCTCAGACCATCAACGAGGGTTGGTTGGCGGCCTCTCAACTGCAATACTTGTAAGAATTCTCTGTAACCATCCTAGTACAGCAAACAGGAACTTTGCGATATCCTCGTTAACTGTACTACAATGGGCAGGCTTTTTCATTGCTACAGTGGGTGGAGATTCCACTTGCAGCAAAGTCTATCTCCCCAATCCACCAGCCCCCAGCCGCACTATTTTTCCTCGCTGCCCCACTCCCTCGGCCACCAGTATGGGCGGCTGGGCAAAACTTTCAAACCTGCCCCATTTTCTGCTTGCACTGCCAGCTGTGACCCCGGGTTGAGGCCGTGAGCCAATCGCAGCAGTGCTAATCCTGTAAACTCTTTTGAACCACCAGCACCAGCTCCAGCACCGCTGCCATAACCATCAGAACCGCACAGAACAGCATTCACTCGTCCGACAGCCTTCCCTGAGACAGTCTCGACTATCTCAGCCGCTACAGGCACTGATACCTCTCCAACCCCCTCCCCACCTCCCTCCCTCCCCTCCTCTCCAGCACCCGTCGCACTCCCTTCCCAACCTCCTTCCCTGGACGGCACGAATCGGACTGGCATGAGTCGCTTTCGCACCACTCCCCTGTGGTGGGTCCTGGCTGTGAGCTCCTGCCCCACGTAGCACCCCTTGGTGAAGCTGATGCCATGCAGGGCTGCTAGGTTGCACTCCAAAGGAAGGGCCTCACCTGATAACAATAACAAACAGGGGAAGGAGGGGGGAAGGGAGCTTGGGCGTGAGTGAATGGGTGACTGGCTGTGAGCTCCTGCCCCACGTAGCACCCCTTGGTGAAGCTGATACCATGCAGGGCTGCTAGGCTGCACTCTAATAAAAGGGCCTCGCCTGGTGGGGAGGGGGAGGGGGAAACATGGGAGTGAGTGGGTCCTGGAAGTGAGCTCCTGCCTGCCCCACATAGCACCCCTTGTTGCACTCTAACGGTAGAGCCAAGAAGCGAATGGGGGGATGGCAAACACAAAAAAACCTAACCCAAGCCTTGTCTTTGCGTGAATCGAAGCATACTTCTGACTTAACGAGCAAAAGCATTTCTTTTTAGTGTGTTACGTACATGCCACTTCGCATCTCCCTACACCGCAGTGCATACCTCTTGGCATCTCTGCACACCCCTCCGCCACTCCCATTGCTAATCGGAACCTCCTGTAGCTGTCCTCCCCCTCTTCCACCTGTGCGTCCACCAATGGGGCTGGTGGGAATAAGGGAAGGGGGAAGGGGAAGAGGGAAGCGGATGGTTAGAAATCGCACAGCATTGCTCTGAATCCCTCTCCCATGGAGAATCAGAATCTCCTGTAGCTCTCGTCGCCCTCTCCCATATCGAGGTCCTAAACGATGCAAAATTATCATTTCCCTATAACTAGGTGTGAACAAATTGGCTCCTTTCTATCTTATTTTAGCCTCTGCCACGAAATTTGCTCACCCACTGCCGCTTCATCAGTAGCTTACGAGAAGAAACCTTTCTTGACAAGGTTCTCACTAGCACGGAAGAACCCTCTCATCTCAGCCCTGAGACAATTTTTTAGGCGCCTAAAAAGCTGAGACGATTTTTGAGGCGCGCCCTCTGAGGCCCATTCCAGGCAGCCTCGGATCGCGATGGTGGTTTCAGCTGTCAGCCCTCCAAACTGATCCACCCGCCCGCCCCACCCCACCCCCTCCCAATCCCCCTTCCAGTTGCTCAAGAGGCAACTCACGGAGTTCACTGGCAGGAAACAGCCCTCTGAGGCCCAAGCCAGGCAGCCTGGGATCGCGATGCCACCGCCACCCCTCTCTCGTGGCTTCAGCTGTCAGCTCGCCCAGCTGATCCACTCGCCCGCCCCACCCCACTCCCTCCCCCGCTGCTGCCTCGTCTGGCAGTGCCGGGTCGGAGGATAGGCGCGAGTGGAAGTGCGCCCAGACTGCCACGTCAGATGACACGTCAGCGAATGACACGTTGGCGCGCAGCTTGTGTCTGGGATGAGGAGGGGAAGTGCATGGGAAGATAGGGAGGTGCAAAGGTAGGAGGGGTGGAGATAGCACAGGGTTGCAAAGAAGGGGAGCATGGGACTTGAATTGGAAAAGAAAAATCATGAGGACACTTTACAATATGCATATAACTAACAGAACAGAAGAAGAAAACAAGAAAACAAGAAGAAGAAAAATAACACTCACTTCTTCAGGTGAGCCAGCAGGTCGTCCAGGTTCGCTGCATCTACGTCCGCAAGCAGCTCTGGTGCGTCTGGGTTCCCCGTATCTGGACCGGCTCCTGTCGGATCCAGCCGACTCGACACTGCATCCTGGTGAGAAACAAATCAGTTGGTGCATAGGGTACAGTGGGTTGAGGTGCGGTGGGGTTAAAGAGAAGGTAGAAGCGAACTTATCTCCGCTTATGGGCTGACCACTAGCAGATTCAGAGGGAGTCAGACGACAAACTACTGCATCCTGAGGACTGATGAATCCGTTACAGAAACTGGCCTTACAGACCCGGATTTTGCACCTGATTCTGTGTCTCACCGAGTGCGGCGGGAAGTAGCGGAAGAGATCGAAGAGGAACCGGCGTTTGGGAGAGAGCAGCGCGGAGTAGAGGGGCGGATGTGGGGGAAGGGAGGTGGGAAGGGAGGTGGGGGGACGGGGAGGGGGAAAGTGGGGCCGAGCACCAGATCATAGCTTACAGAGTGAGGCGGGCGGTAAAGGAAGAGGTCGAAAAGAAACCTCCCCTGAGGAGAGAGCAGCGCGGAGTAGATTGGCGGATGCACGCTGGCGGGTTGATTGGGCGTGGGGATGGGGGAGGCCACCGGGGGGGGTTGCTGGAGAAACGGGGTGACGTCATTGGTCAGCAGACCCTGCAGGAAGTTGATCGCATCGCGACCGTCGAATCGGATCACGCCTCGGCTGCGAAGCCGCGCCGCCATGGGGTTGCTCCGCGACGCGGCCTCGCGCCCTTCTTTGTTCGGATCCGCGCCTCCCGCTCCTCCTGCACCGCTCGCGCCTCCCGCGCCGACAGTTCTTCCCGCGGACGACGCGTTGTCATGCGTTGCTGCTCCTGCGGAGTCAGCATCGCGGCTCGACGTGACGTAGCCCTTCGAAGTTGACGCGATCGAAGCGAATCGCGACACGAGCAGCGGATACAGATCCAGCGTCTCAATAGCTGCGCTGCTCGAAGAAAGTTGACTCGTTATAGTGCGCCTTGTTAAACGTGGCAGTGATGCGGTGAGTGCCTTCATGGCGCCCGAATTTAGGCAAGAGAACACACTAACAACCAGCGGAACGGCCAGCTACTACTGAATACTAAGCGAAACGGATCTACTGAAGGGACGGCGAGGAAGAGGATGTCAAACAACTGTCGGTCTGGCTCATTATGTTTAGAAGACTCTGCAACGTCTGCTGTTATGCTCACATAATAAACTTAGCGCCTAGAACGGAGCGGCTCGAGTCATAATTCAGTTCACAATGTGCGTGTGACTTTCATATCGTTCTAGTCGGTTCAGCTTGTTCCCTCGCGGTTTAGCACGGTCATAAGTTGAACCACGTCAACCGCCAAAGAACCGTCAAGAACCGTGATTTATTAAATTAGAACCGTGACGTATCAGACATGGCAGAATGCAGCTTCCTTCTGTGTCACGAAGGCAATGTATGGAGCTGGATGGCTCCCAATGGACACGCCACGTGGCGTACATGCACTCGCGCAGGAAAGTCTTGCTAATATTGTTCTGGTTGCTCTTTTAGAAACACACAAATAAGCTAAACAGAGTGTGCAAAGCAATATAGACATGTTGCAAATGAAAGTCTTTCTCAGGTGGTGAACTCAGCTTCTGATAAAGACGTGTAATTATGGATTCAATGTTGCCATCAATTTCAATACATCACTTGCTATATTTGAATCACGACACATCTATCCATACCACCCGACATCTCTGGGGGAGATTTGCTCCTACACTTATATCTCCTCTGGGAATACCACTTGGCTCCATCTGGAAGAGTGATGCTGCCACTAGAGCGCCCCATCATACGCATAAGACCATCAATGCCCCTCAACTCGGAGCATCCTTTAACGTTCACCTCAATAGCCACATCTGGTGAAACCTGCAGTGTCTTCCCCAACAAAACCTCCCAGTTCACGTAACGCAATCCAACACACTCCTGCAAAACCACCTCCTGTATTGCAATAGGACCCTTGCAGCCATCACCACTCCCACCTGAATTCCCAACATTACCACCGCTCCCGACGCTTTTCCCAACACATTCTAATCTCCTGCAGTTGGTGAGACTCAGGGACCTGAGTCCAGGCAGACAGAGGGCTTCAGGGGGGAGCGATTCCACAGCATGACAAGCATGCATGTGAAGGGATGTGAGGCACGAGAGGAGACTGATGGTCGGCGGCAGGGCCTTCAGATGGCGACAATAGGTGAAGGAGAGGGCAGTAAGGCGTGTGAGAGAGGGGAGGAGGGAGGGAGGGAGGGCAGCGTCAGGGCATTGGTCCAGGTGCAGTGAACGGAGGCGCGAATACAAGGAGGTGTGGGTTGCAGGAAAGGAGAATGTGGGAGCAGGGTGCATGGAAACAAGTGGTTCTGTGTCAGTCTCTGTCTGGGAAATTCGGAATCTTGAAATGCTGAATCTGGTTGGAAGCACCAAACTGCTGCAAGGCTGCTCCAGGGAACCAAACTTGCAGTTTGCAGCCCCAATAGCACCAGATCCATCGGATCCCTTGGCTGAAGCAACGCTGGGAGTAGCAGAACCACTAGCGTGGCTCCAAATGTCACACCTGGTTGCACGGTTGGCTGACAGGCTCAGTGACGTCAGCTCCTGATGGAAGAGCGATGCTAGTTTGGAAAACATGATGTCACAGCAAACGCTGAGCTTCACGGACTTGAGTCGAGGCCACCAGATGGTTGCACTAGGTTGGGGATTGGTGGGAGAGACTGAACCAGGAGCGGCAGTCTGAGCTTGGTCTGGAAAGCCGGAGTGATAATTGCAGTGAGAATTGAACCGCTGATTGGAATGATAACTGAGCTGCCCACAGGAGCTGTTCGGAAGGATGATGTGATGAGATGAAGACAGCTGCAACTGAGTGATTGAGGATGGCAGAAAAGGTCGACAGTGTGTTGATGCATCTGAAGGACAGCTGATGCTGAGATGCTCAATTATCATGGCTGTGGTTGAATCACACTGCCGAAATCTTCCACTGGATTGATCATGGTAATGGTGATCCAATCCCAAGACCACACATCTGTCCGTTTGAATCTCCAGAGCTTCCAAGGAAGACAGCTGCATTATCGAGGAGGGAATCGTGAGCGCGGACTCGCTCCATGCCACGTCAGCATGGCCGTGTCGGCTCCACGCTGACGCACTATACGCAGCCCTCAGTCCATCAGAGATGTTCCGCTTCGTGCGGACGTGGCGGACGTTACCATCATGACCGAGTTGTAACGCCAGCCGTTTCAATTGGGGACATCCCACGAACAGCGAATTCAACCCCGAGCTGGTAACCTCATCGTCATCTTCGCCATAGCACATGCAGGAGAGGTCCAGGACTTGAAGGACAGGGCAGGAGGAGGCTAGGGTTTCCAGAAACGCGTCGCCAAACGCTTGGTGAAAGCTGGTAATTGTGAGTGACGTCAGCTGCCGGAAAACTCGAACGGCCTGAAGAAGCGTGTTGTACGTAAGCCCGTCGCCTTTGTACTCGTTATTGGAGTCCCCGTCACCGTCACTTCCGCCGGAAACGGAGGCAGGCCCGAATACGCCTCCGCTCGTGCAGTCAACCCTCACGTGCAGAACGCTTCGCGCAACGGCGTCGGCCCAGGCTTTGCTGACCGCTGAGCACCTGATGAGATCGCGAACCCTCGTAATCCGCTCGAGCGCGAGCTCTACGGCAAGCTCGTTACAAGAACCCGGAGGAGCGTTCGACATGATGTTGCGAAGACACGACTTTTGCGGAGCCTCGGGAATGTCTGACATGCTGCGTCGTGAGGAGATGGGCACTGCTCTTTTCTCGAGATAGACTTCTCACTTAAGAGCCTGACTTCTACTTGGAAAGAATCTGCGGAGAGTTGCGAGAATCTCACTGTTATCCACGTGAGAATGCTTCGTTCGAAAGAGCGAATAAGATCCAACTGACGCTGGAGGAGAGATTAGTGGTCCACTTGACGAGAAAAGTCTTCCGCGCTCTAGCATGACTATGAGCGCAGACAACCTCTAAGCTTCTGTAGTATACGGAAACCAGAGCTAGCGCTTACTATCACACAGGGGCTCAAGATTCCGCCCGCCATGACTGAAAAGGTGGCGGAGATAGCCCGCGTCGCGTAATGGTACATGCTGTGCATGCTGCAACGAGGCATGGACGAGGCTTGCCGATGGATTGTCGACGGACGAGGGACTTCCCTCTTACGTCCTGGCGCGTGTCTTCGTTCCTCGCATCGCACCAGACCGCCATGTCTTCGAGGAACACTAGGTTTAGAAGCCTTTGAGGGCATATCATAATGTGGTGCGACGAGCGGTTTGTCGAGTAAGAGCGGTTGTTATGCTTCGAGAACGGTTGGGAATGGTTTGAGCGTAAAGTACTCTTTCTACACGCCCTGAATCATGGAGGATGACTATATATCGCAAATGAAAATGCAATTGGTACGTGAGGTGAGGAGGTTCCCAAGGCACAATGACGGACATTTGACGGACGGGGCAATTGACGTACTGGCCGTGTTGACTGAGTTTCACAGTTTCTGTCAACGCTTGAGTAGGCCTGATTCATATCTGTGACACGTCAGTTTCGAAAATGATGACTGTACGCGCCTCAAGGCACTGATTTGTCAAATAACCAAGGGTACCGTCAAATAACCAAGGGTACCGTATATCTGTATCCTATACTAGCAAGCTATCCAATACATATATAAACTAGTGCGAGTGGGTAAGCTAAGAAGCCGCCTCGCCAGCAAAAGCAACTATTGATGGAAGAGCTGAACTTCACTGAAACGGCTGTCGGAGCCACTTTCCTGCAGAGAAACACACATAAAAGACATGAGAAAACCTAAGCGTAAAAGAACCTATAGTATCGCATAGAAGGAACTCACAATGATAATGTGGATGTCACATCCGAATAACGCATCCACTGTCACCAGTGTTCGCCCTGATTTCGTCCACATCCTCCTGTGGACCCACCACACTGCTACCATCCCTCGCATTTCCACTGCGACCATCAGCACAATCCTCCCCCACACCTACAGTTGCCCTCTTTGTGGTCGTGCATGTGCTGGCGGTGGTTGCGCTGCTTCGGGTGCTGCTGCTGGTAACCAGACCATCGTCAACCATACTGTATGTGAAAGCACCCTCGCTCTCAGCCTTCTTTGCAGCATCAGCAGCACCAGCAGAAGCACTAGCAGCAGCTGCAGGCGAGGAGGTGCAAGGAGACACAATCCAGCCAACAGAGTTGGCAGAGCAGACAGAGACAGACGACGCCGCCCGCTTACCAACACCAGGGGACGAAGCCCGCCTGCCAGGAGAACCACCAGATTTCGACCGTACAGGAGGGACAGGTGTCGACCGCCCAAATGCACATCTCCGGGGTGACGTGGCAGCTTTTGTACCGCCAGCAGGTGATTTCTGAGACACCTCAGCGGATTTCCGAGGTGACGTGGCAGCCTTTCCAGCAGCAACGGGTACAGCGGATGCTGCTGCTGCTGGCCTTCCGATTATGCCTCTGTTCAGAGGTGAGGGCTTTCGTGGTGGCACTAGGGGGAGTGCCTGTTTCTGAGGCGTTTTAAAATGCTGCTTCCCTGTAGAACCCGAGACTGATTGGGTTGAGGTGGAGGCAGGGAGGGAGTTCCTGCTGCTGTTGCTCTGGATGCTGCTGCAACTGGTGGCCGCGGCAGCATTGGTGCTGCAACTGGTGTTGCTTCCGGTGGTATCGATAACAGCGCCGCCACTCTCCTTGGGCGAGGGCAGGGACAAGCTCTTGTTGAGCGCCACTGTAAGCGACCGTGCCACTTTCCTCCGTGCATTTAGCTGCCCCAGGGGGGATTTTGGGCGGGGACCAGCAGGAGGGGAGGGCACACGGAGGCTTCCTCCTCCTGGTGAGCTCCCTCCTTCTAGTGCCCCCCCTGCCTTTAAAGGCCTACCTCCTTCTGATGCATATCCTCCCTCTGATGCATTTCCTCCCTTGGAAACTTCCCCTCCCCCCAGCCCATGTCCGGGTCTAGACTCCTCTTCTTGCCCCGTAGCAGCTTCTCCAGTGTTCTCTTTCCCGCGGTGCCCACTCCTTCCGCCTGTTGCTGCTGCTGCTGCTGCTGTCCCTGCCCCTACTCCTGCTCCTGCTCTTGCTGCTCCTGCGCCTGCTACTGCACCACCTCTCCCACTTCGTCCAGAAGAGATCGGCTTTGGGCCTGCTGGCGGGGATGGCGTTCTGGGTAAATACCCCTTCTTTTCTCCTTCCTCCACCATCTTACCCACTCCGCCTTCTATCACCCTCCCTCCATCCATCCTCGAAGCTACCTTCCCCTCATCCTTCCCTCTACCTCCTTCCTCCCAACCACTCACATCCTCCCCTCCTCTTTCCCTTCCATGAACCACTGGCACCTCCGCCTCCTCTCCTTCCACCCTTTCACATACCACCCCCACCCTCTCCTCTCTTCCCACCACACTCCCCTCCCCAACAACACACCCCTCCACCACCACACTCTCTTCTCCAATCACACTCCCCTCTCCCACCACACTCCCCTCCCCAACCACACTCCCTTCCTTCTCCCACTCCTCTGCACCTGTCCTTGCCTGCCCCCCCCCATCCTCCTCGTCCCCATCACTCCCACACACCTCCAGCCCCCCCACCTCATACCCCCTCCTCCCCATCCCCCCCCACACCCGCCCTGGGGACCTTCGGGGGGAAAGCGCCACGAGAAGGGCGGAGGAGGCGGAGGGGGAGGGGGAGCGCGGGCGGACGGGGGGAGGGGGGGGGGAAGGGGGACCAGGGGCGGAGGTGGGCGCAGGGGAGGGGCTGCAAGAAGGGGGGGATTTGGCGGAAGGGGAAGGTGTGGAGGAGGGTTCAAAGGGGTTGGGAACGGTGCGAGGCTTGCGGTAGGAGCCTGGGAGTTGACAAACCTTTGACTGCAGGCCAGCATTGGCATTAATGGCAGTAACAGGGTTACCACTTCCTCCAATGCCCTTGCCGCTGCCACTGTTGCTTCTTTCCAAACTCCCACCACCACCGTCCTTCCCTCCTCGTCCTTCCTCCTTCCCAGCACTGCATTCAGCAACACCGCAGCTGTTACCACTCTTGCTCACGGGACCACCAGTAATACCCCCTCTAGCAGCCATTGCCGCCCTTGCTGCTACCCGTGCTGCTGCTCCCGCTGCTGCCCCTCCTGCCGCCTTGCTCCGGTTGATGGGAGGCGGTGAGCTGTTTCGAGGGGTGACAGGTGGGCACGGCACTAGCAGCTTTGGAACATCACTGCTAGTGCTGTTGCTGCTGCTGTTGCAGATGCTGGTGCAGCTGCTGGTGTTGCCACTGCCGCCGGCACCGTCGTCGCTGCTGCTGCCGTTGCTGCTTCGATCACCGCTGGAGTTGCTCTTTCCGCTGGGGCCAACAGCAGTACCCCCCTCTGCTGCTACTGCCACCGTTCCTCCCTCTCCGTTATTCCCCAAAGCACCAGCACTGTCACGCTCAGCATCCGTTGCAGGCACATAAGCAGAATCATTACTTTCCTGCTCTAGACATTCCGGTTGACCCAAGACAACATTCTGGTCTCGTTTCTGCTCCAGTGGTTGCTCTGGTGCCTGGCTCGAATCCACTGCCCCACCCTCCTCCTCCCGGCCAACCATATCACCAGCTGAATCAGCAGAAGCAGTTTTAGCAGCAGGCACCCAGCATATGCGCTGTGCCAGACCCAGGGGGGCAGTTCCCCCCCGCCCAGCCCCCACCCGCCCAGGCGAACCTGCCCTCGCCTGGTTACCACCTTTCGCCTGGTTACATGTTCCTGGCTGGTTACCACTGGGCGAACCTCCCATGGATTCATCGTCTCCCCTTGCGTGGTTTCCACCCCCCTCTGACTCATCCCCTTCTGCACCCACCGCTCTGAACCGCACTCTCTTCTTCCCTGCACTGCCCGGCCCCTGCTGCCCCTCACTCATCGCCCTGCTCTCTCCTTCCCTTTGAATCGGCTCCGAAACGTTCTCGTCTTTCCCTTCACCGCTCTCCACACCTGCAACTGCAGGAGTCTTAGGATCACCTGAAACAGCACTTGTGACTATAGAGGAAGGGCCAATAGAAGTGTGAGCAGTGACAGTAGCACAGGCGGGGGCGGGGGAAGCGGCAGCGGCAGGGGAAGGGGCAGGGGCAGGGGCAGGGGGAGGAGTAGGGGCCGCAGTGGAGCCAGAGACAGGCGCGGGGACAGGGTTAGGGGTGGAGGAAGGGATAGGGAGGGGGGACTGGGGAGGGCGGGACACAGGAGAGGGGGAGGATGGGGACGTAGGGAACGCAGGCCAGAGGGACGGGGGCAGCGTTGGCGTCTTGCTGCTGCTGTTCGCATTAGCACCTGAAGGCTGCATAGATACAACCTGTCCAGATACAGCCTGCCCGGATACGACCTGCCCAGGTAGCACCTGTCCCAGTTGCACCTGCCACGTTTGCTCCTGCTCGGCCTCTGCTGCAGCTGCTGCTGCGAACGGATTCGTGTTGACGATGCCAGGAGTATCAATGTGAGGTAGCATAACAGGGTAACCAGCAGCTTCGCCTCCCATTTCGCCAAAGCAGCCAGCACTGTATCCCCCACCGCTGCCCTGGCCCAACTCGTCTTTGAACGAGTCACTGCCGCATAGGAACGGGTTGGTGCTTGTAAAGGGGATGGAGGGCGTGTGCGTGTGAGCGTTTTGAGCCAACTCACAAGTGTGCGTGTGCGTCTCAGCCTTTTGAGTCGACTCAGACGTTTGAGGGTGGGCCTGCGTCTGAGGCTGTACCTGGGCTTGTTTGGGCCGAGCGTGTGGAGAGGAGGCGCGGAGGGGGAGGAATGAGACGCTGCTGCTCACGCCCGTGCCCTTCTGCCGCTCCTCTGCTGCTGTCTGCTTTAGTGCTGCCAGCAGCACCGATGCTGCTGCTGCTCCTCCTGCTGACGCCGATGCTGTTGTTGCTGCTCCTGCTCCTCCTCCTCCTGCTGCTGCTCCTCCTACTGATCCTGCTGCCGTCCCCGCTGCTGCTGCTGCTGCTGCAGCTGAGGGTTCTCCTTCCGCTGGGGCTGTTGCTGCTGCTGCAGCTGCTCGTGGTGGTGAAGTTCCCGCTACTGCTGCTGCTGCAACGGGCATGCTCGTTGCCTCCTCTTCTCCCTCCTTCCCCATCCCCTCCTCCTGCTTCTCTGAGTAAAGAGCTGATTTTGGAATCGACTCGAAGAACACACTCCCTTCCTCCTCACTCCCCCCCACGCTCCCTCCTCCTCTGCTCTCCCAACCAATAGAATCGCTCCCTGTTGCCCCCCCTGCGCGATTCCGCCCCCCGTTTCCGCCCACTCCCCTGGCAGACGCGCCAGCGCCTGCTGCGCGCGCGGCTGTAGCAGCAGCTGCTGCGCGCGCGCCCGCGGCGGACGCGCGCATGGGGAGCCCGGGCGCGGGGCTGTGCGCGGCGGAGGAGGCGCGGGAGGGGGAGCCGCGGGAGGGGGAGCCGCGGGAGGGGGAAGCGCGCAGATGCACCCACTGCGCAAACGACACACACGAGTCGTCTCGTGCTGGGGACGCGGGCGCAGATTGCATTGTACCCCTTACATGATCTCCCTGTCCTTTCCCTCCGTGGCTGCCGCCTCCGCTGCCACGGCCCCCGTTGGCACCACCCCCTGCGGCATCCTCTCCGCCTGTCACCACTAGGCCTATCCGCCGCTGCTGCAGCTGCCATTGCCGCTGCCACTCCTGCTGCTGCCTTTCTCTAAGCTCTTCCTCTGAGTCCTCCCTCTCCTCCTCCTCTTCCTCCTCCTCTTTCTCCTCCTCTTCCTTCTCGCCCTCCTCCTCTCCAATCAAGCCTCTGGTTGGTAGAGCTTTGGTTTCAAAGGCGTTTCCAGCAGTCCTGGCAGTTACAGCGTCAACGCTCCCCTCGTCCTCCTCCTCCACCTGATTGCAAGTCACGTCGAAGTGAAACCCATCTGAACCCACTCCCACCACATCACTTCTCTGCCCTCCTTCCCTCTCCCCCTCCCCCTCCTCCACCCCCTCCCCATCCCCTTTCCTCTCCCCCTTCCCTTCCCCCTCCTCCTCTTCCCTCTCTCTCGCCCTCTCTCCTCCTTCTCCCTGGCCGGCAGAGTAACACCTTTCACCCGCTTTATCCTCCATCGCCGTTTCATGCTCCTCCTCCCCTTTATCCTCCTCCTCCTGCTCCTCCTCCCCTTTTTCTTCCCCCTCCTCTTTCTCCTCTTTCTCATCGTCCTCCCTCTCTTCCTGCCCTTTCTCCTCCCCTTCCTCTTTCTCCTCCTCCTCCACCTCCTCCTCCTCCTCCCCAACCAGCATAACCCCCCATTCAGCACCCCTCTGTTCCACCTCATCGTTATTTAATCCTTCCACGTCAGCATTCTCCACGTCATTCCCATCCTCATCCACCTTGGTCTCGTGGAGCCACGTGTCCAAAGTAGCTCCTGATGCAGCGTTCGCGGCAGAAAAGGAACCACCACCAACATCAACAGTGCTACCACCACCCCCACCACCACCACCACCACCACCACCACCGCCGCTGCCACTGCCGCCACCCTTCGCCTCCCTACCACGATTCTGCTCCCTACCCCGCTCCTTTATCTCCTCCGCAGTCCCCTCCTTCGTCTTCTCGCTGCTGCCTGGCTGCTCCTCCTTCCCCTTCCGCCGCTTAAAGTTCCCCTTTCCGCCTAGCTTCGCCTTGCCCCACGACAGCCACTTCAACAGCCCCCCACCACTACCGCCACCCCCACCACCCCCACCACCACTGTTACCACCACCACCACCATTACTCCCACCCTGCCTACCTTCCCCATTGCGCGCGCCTCCCTCACCCTCACCGCCTGCCGCTACAGCCGTTTCAGTGGCTAGCTGTGTTTTGGCAGGGGTACCACCCCCAGGGTCTGACACCGTTCTTGCTAGAACCTTCTGTGGGAGGGGGACATGCGGACGAACGGGCCCTGTTGCGCCGTCGTGCGTCGTGCACGCAGGCACGGGCGCCCTCGCCGCTCCAGGTGTTTCCTCAGGCGTTTCCTCAGGTGTTTCTTCAGGTGTTTCGTCAGGTGCTGCCGCGAGGCTCTGCTCCACGAGCGCGTTGTACTCCGCAATGGCCGCCGCAGCAGCCGCTGCGAGAGAGGAGGACGCAGCCGAAACAGATTTGTCAGTAGCAGAGGAGGCAGCAAGGGAAAGCTGTTCATCTGTGCTCGCTCCCCCCAGTGGACGCACGAGTCTCGCGGACTCTGCGTCTGAACTCGCAGCAGCTCTCGCCCTGCTGCACGCACTAGAGAACGCACTCGTACTGCTGGTGGAAATAGCAGGGTTACTAAAAATAGGCACGGTCATATTTGTGTACGGGCCGGCGTTGCTGCTAGTAGAAACATCAGCACTGGGAGCTTGTGTGTTGATCTGGCTAGTGGTGGTGGTAACCGGCATGGTACCGGTGGTTGGGGTTACCACCGAAGCAGACGAGGTTCGGTGCCATCTCACGCCCAGGCCGCGCCGCAGCGGCAGCTTCGGCACTTCCGGAGACCCGAGCCACGCCCGCAGCCTCGGCGAGCCCAAGCCTCGGCGGTGAGGCTCGGGAAGCGCCGAAGCAGGAGGAGGAGAAGCAGCAAAAGCTGAAGGAACAGTAGCAGCAGCGGTCCTGTTTCTTTCCATTTGCTCCACCACACAATCCGCGCCACCACCACCACCACCGCCACCAGCACCAGCCGCACCAGCCGCACCACCAGCATCATCGTGCTTCCTACCCCTTCTTGGCGACACCAGTCCGCGAACTCTGCTGAGCCCTCGCGACCACGGCGACGACGACCGTCCCTGCGACTGCTTCTGATGCGCTTCAAACGAAGGCGACAAAGGAGACGGCGACCGACCCTGTGTTACCCCTTCCCACCCTTCCCACCTCGAGCCCACCCCGCTCCCCTCCTTAAAGTCACACTCCAGAGCGCGGCCAAACCCGCTATTATCACCTCCCGCAAAAGCGGAATTCGCATCACCGCCGCCTCTACCGCCGACACCGCCACCGCCACCACCACTGCCGCCGCCGCCACCACCACTGCCGCCGCCGCCGCCGCCGCTTGTGTTTCGGCCGCGGAAGCGCGAGGGAGACGCGTTGGCGTGGCCTCTGGAGAAAAACTTAAAGCCGAGGCGCGGCGACAGGCGACCGGCTGCGGCGCTGGAGGCTGTGGGAGTGCCGGGGGTAGCGGCATGAGGGAAGCGACGGGTCGCGTTATGAGGCGCATCGTCGAGTGAGTCGGGAGGATGGAAGGAGTCGGAGGAAGCGGAACGCACGATCCGCGGGCGGGGCAAACCCGCCGCTGGATTCGCCACGGAATTTGTCGCTGAACCAGCCGTTGGATCTTTTGCCGCTGAACTAGCCGTTTGATTCGCAGACGCAGAGGCTGCGGAGTCCGCGGCGGAAACCGCGCTTCCATGCGAATCGCCTCCCGGGTTGCTCGTTACCTGAGAAGGCACCTGAAGAGGCACCTGATGGGCTACCTGAGGAGGCACTTGCGAAGCTTCGCAGAATGCTGCGTTCACATCGGCAGGAACGTCGGCACGGGAAGCAGCTGCCATTGGCTGCGAATTTTCCGGCGGCAGATGCGGTGGTTGCAGACGGTCGACACCACAATCTGCCTGCGGCGTCGGGGAAGCGGCCCGGTTCATCTGATTCAGGACGGTCAGGGAGGCGTCTTTAAGTTGAGAGAACTCGTTGGGATTAGGAGCTGACGTGTCGAGAGGGGTAGGAGGGGCAGGAGGGACAGGTGGTGCTATGGAGCAGCGCGGAAGTATGGGAGAGGAGGAGGGTGAAGGGGAGAGGGAAGGAGAAGGGGATATGCTGAACGCGAGGGACGGAGAGTCTTCGTATACGATAAGCGGGGCCAGGTTCGGCGGTCGGTGCGACGGCGGCGTCGCCGGGATATCCGTGACGTCGCCAACGCCGTCGCCTGCGACGGCACGTGCGACTTCAGCGACGGTCTCCTCCACCTCGCCGACACATTTCCCCGCCGCAATACTCTCCGTTTTCCCGCTAAGAACCATCCCTGATTCGCCTGCCGGCTGCTGTAACTGCCTCTGCGGATCCACCCCTGCCACGTCAGCCTGCTCCGAGGTAAACCTACTAATACAGCTCATTCCGCTCTTTCCGCTCTCCTGAGATTCTACAACCTGAGATTCCTGAAACGGCTGAACGTAGGCTGTCCCATTTATCTCCTGAAGAATACCTTCTCCCTCGCTTGCTCCACGCCTCCCCTCTTCTCCGACCAGACGGTTTTCAGTCTGTTTCCGTCCGTTTTCCCGGCAGCTGTCCCGGCCTTCGCTCGCACAGCTCCGTCGATTCTCGTTCGTCGGCTGCGTCTTCCCTTTCCCACCCATGAAAGCAGAACCCCGGTTCAGAGGACGATCGGAAGCTTTTGATGCCGCTGCTGCTGATGCTGCTGATGCTGCTGCTGGTGCAGCTGACCTGCTGCCGTTCCGCTCGCCGTTCTTCCCGCCGTTGCCGTTCTCCTTCTCCCCTCCGTTCCTCGTTTCCCCACGCGAGCTTCGACCGTTGCCAGTCGAAAGGATCCCCTTTCTAGGGCTTGCTGCACCGCCGCGCGAATCCTTCCGAGGACTGATGGAGGAACTGAGAGCTCGTGGTTTCAATACTGGCGACTTCCCCATCTGCATGTTGGTGAAATTTGTCATTGCTGCTGATCGCCTAAACGAGGACGTATTTCTCAGTAATTACGATTTTGTGACATATTATATATGAATCACGGCTAGCGCTGCATCGTGAGCCTTCACTGATTATGAGATATCCCAGGACTCTGACTTGCGTGATTTTCGAATAGAGCCTAGTATTTCTATCACATGTCCCGCGTTGTTATTTTCAGACGCAATGTGCTTTCAAGCAGAGCCCTGCGTCCTACACAAACCAGAAACACGCAGACTCTAGAATCGGAAAATCGTGGGAACTCGAAGTAGCGATCAGGAAATGCGTTCATCCGTGGTGTGACAGGGTGCTGCTGAGCTCTTCCAATTCAGAATTCAAAACACACATGTGCAGGCCAGAAGGGTGTTGGGCTCGAGTCGGCCAAATTGCTGCGAGTTCCCCAAGGTCTGACAGAGAATTCCCCTCGAGACTGCCATTTCTGCCAAGTTTTCACGGGCCTTGAGCCGCACCCAGGGCCAACATCGAAACCCAATAGGTTTGGCTTGGGCTGGTTGGTTTGGGAGCAGGCATGATGGTAACGAACCAGGAGTTATTTGGTCTGGTCTAGTTGGATGTGGTGTGGTGTGGTGTTGCTGGGTGCTTCTTTCGGGGAAAATGGCGTTAGGCTGGAACCGCGTGCCAGACAGCTGTAGTTTCGAGGCTCTCCCGCCAAAGTTTGAATTCGGTTGTCAGAGTCAGTGCGATTGTGCGAGGACCCACAAGAGCATCAGCTATACAATGACAGTGAGTAAACGCATGGGGAAAGTATGCCAATGGTAACATACATGGGGCTCTTTAACGCGTACATTTTTTTTTTATGTAATTGAAATGTACACTGGAACAGAACAAGCATACATAATCAATAACAGTCGTAACTGTGCATGAGGGGAAGCCACGCGGCCGCCCCAAGTGTGGCATCTATGGAGGTCGGTGAGTCATCCTCGGTGCAATCCAGACATTTGTAAAAGCGTTCGTCCACGTCCACGACTTGCGATTTTTGTCCCTGATCCGAAACAACATCTTGTCCTCCTTCTCCATTGTGCGACGAAATTTCTCCTCCTGACGTGTACCCTGACACTTCTTCCACCGCGCTTCTCTTGTCCGCGTGTACAGCCTTGCATGAAGCCGAAAGGCCGTTTCAACCCTCCGGAGCACCCGCCTCGCCCGAAATCTTTGCCCCCTGAAAACAGCATCACACCGCTCCAGCCACAGCTGATGAAGCGTGATTGATGTAATCGTGGCCTCCGGAAAAGCTGAGCTGGACCCTGCTTTCCGGAACAACAGGTCTCCGAGGGACGCCACAGTGCGCGAGGCGTTCAGCATGCGGAGGGTTTTCAGGAGCGCCGAGGTCACCAGTTGTATCTTCGGGCAACTGTAGAGACAATGCTCCAGGGTTTCCACCCCTCCACAGTATAGGCAAACCGGCTTACTCCTCAAAAAGGCCACCCGTTCTCCAACTTGCAGATTAAGGTTATGAACCCGCAACAGAAGATCTCTCGGTTTGCTTGGTGTGACCAGCGAGTCACGAATGGCAATAGTCCGCTTCCAGTTTATCTGCCCGTTCCATCTGCCCTTCCACAGCATCTGCTTCGCCGATGGCTTTTGTCCTTCCCTCCAAAGCAGCTTCAACCGCTTCAGAGGCGCAATCCCCCCATTCTCAAAAATGGGGAAATCGGTGAGGTTGCGCCCCGCAGAGTGGTAAACCCTCCGCGACCCAGCCGAGATACCCCCCTGAGTGCCCTGAGTAGGCGTGTTGAGCAGCATGTCTCTCCACCTCTGGGGAGCAGCTTCGAAAGCCCTCACCGCTAGCTTGGCAAGTGCTTTCCCACCCAGCTCCCTCTCTAACACATCGGGAGCTTTGAGCACAGGAGCGCCGGTCCCGTCGAACGCGAGCAGATCACCCAGCCTTTTTTCCCATAGAGGCTTCGCATCCTTTTGCCCCCCGACCAGCGTGGTCCCTTTCAGCAAAATCCGCTTGTTGAAAACAATCCGCTCCTTTTCCACTGATTCTCGAGAGCTTGCCTCCGGTAGATTGCCCAGCGGCGTTTTCATGAAATTTTCCACTGCCGCCTTCCAGCAATGACTTTTCCCCTCCCAGTGCTTGAGCAGCTTCTCGTGGACGAAGAATGTCTCAACGCCCATGGGGAGGTCCGCCGCCCGCGTCATGAGGTGCTTCTTCAGCCCATTCGTCTCCAGCGCCAGCAATCCCACACGGCGGGCCGTGAGGCACGCCAGGATCATTTCCGGATCATGCACCCCCACGCCCCCCAGCTTCCTCGGAGTGTGAAACAGATCCTTGCTCCAGAGCCTGAACACCGTATCCGATGTTGCCCTATTTCCAGAGACGAAATTGTGAAAGGTCTTGGAGACAGTCCCCCACAGTTTCGCAGGGGGTGGGTAGACCTGCGCCTGGAACGCTGCCTTCGGCATCGTATAACAGTTGACCACCGCCTTCCTTGCCGCCGTCGGAAGGAACTTCTGCTGCCATTTTTTGTTTTTTCCCGTCACATCCTCCGTAGTTTTTTCCCATGTTGGCAGGCAGCTTCCTGAGGGAGTGACCCAGACCCTAAGCAGCTTCTCCGCTTCCTCCGCCTTCGCCCAACGGAAACCATTCGCCCGACCGGACGTCCTGCCAAGATTATTCCCCAACGGTAAGATGACGGATTTGTCACTGTTCGTCGCTAACCCCGAGGTCAGTTCAAACTTCGCTAACACTTGCTCGGCTCTGATGATCTGCTGTTCCCTTCCAGGACCAAAGTGGTGTCATCCGCGTACCCGATGTACGCCAACCGCTCGCTCGACCTGCTGATGCCCAGCTTCCACTTTAGAACCATTTGCGTCAGCGGCTCAACCGCACACAAAAACAGGTACGGAGCAAGGGGGCAGCCTTGCCGAACCCCGGATACCACCTCCACGCCTTCCCCCATCCAGCCATTGACTAACAACCGTGTCTGTGTTCCCGCATGCAGGCCTTCCACCCAACGCACCAAACGATCAGGAAACCCCATTGCCCGCAGCGTCCGGAAGAGGTAACCGCGGGAAACCGAGTCAAATGCTTTCTTGAAGTCGACCAAGAGGAGGAACCAATCCTCGTTGTCATTCCGCGCCGTGTCAATAATGTCAGCGACAAGCCCCACCGCGTCCGTCAACTGCTTTCCTGGAAGAAAACCATACTGCTCCGGCGAAATCACCCGGCTCAGAAATTTCTTCATCCTGTCAGCCACAACCCGTGCCAGCACCTTGTAAGTGAAATTGAGGAGAGTGATAGGACGGTAGTTGTTGAGTTGGTCCTTATCCCCTTTCTTGTGAAGAAGAATTGTAACCGCCTCCTTTACTTCCGTTGAGCGAACCGCTGACGACGCGAAATCCTTGGCTAAGGCCATGAACCCTTTACCCAGCAGGTCCCAGTGGGCTTCAAAAAGCTCCTTTGGCAACCCATCTTTCCCCGGGGACTTGTTTGCCACCATCGCACTGAAGGCCTTTTTCACCTCTTCCTCCGTCCAGTCTGCTGCCAGTTCCTCTGCCTCCCAGCTCCTCAGCTTCCTTTTCTGCGCAGGACGACAGTCAACTTCCAGCTGACACCGATCCCGTCCGAAGATGTCCGCGAAGAAATACGACGCCGCACGAAGAATACCCTGCGAATCGGAAACGACGCCTGTCGCCGTCTGCAACTCCGCAATCTGAGTAATCGCCTTCTTAGCCTGCACCATCGCCGTCAGGTGCTTCGATGCCACTTCACCTCGGAGCTCCAACCGCATACCTGACATCAGGTGCAGCTTGTCCTTTCTTGACGCCTGGTACTCCCGCAGTTGCGCCTCCTTCACTGCTAACCGTGCACTTGTTGCCTTCAGGACGGGTCCCGCATCATTTCCTGACGGAGCTCCGCAACCTCATCAACCAGATGCGTCACCGTCGCCTTCACTTGCTTGCCTTCCTCTTTTGCAAACGCACGAAGCCCAGCCGCCAACCGCGAAAGAAGCAGCTCGAAACTGCTACCGTCCGTGACAGCGCACTTCTCCACCGTTGCTTCCACAATCCGCCGAACCCCATGCTTGTGGACCATGGACGCGTGAAGCCTCCAGAGGCCGGGACCGATGCAGATCTTGGCATCAATCCGAAGAGCCACCCGAACTGCAAAACTGTGATCTGATATGTACTCCGCCGGCATCACGTGAGAAGCCTGGATCAAATGAGGTAAAAGAGAATGAGAGATGAGAGCCCGGTCGATGCGCGTGCTGACCTGCTTCGCCTGGGAGAAAAAGGTAAACTCTCGTTTTCTTGGATAAAGCGTGCGGAAAGCACCTGAGAGCTGGAAGGCAGTGCAGCGGGTGAGAAGCTTGTCGTTTTCCGCGGTAGAACCTATGCGTGATGATTTATCTAATATCGGGTCTTCTATAGTATTGAGATCGCCGATGATAAGCAGGTGGTTGGACGGCGGGAT